TATTATATGAACATCAGAAGCTCAAGAACACAGGACAACAAGTGTATATAATGTGCGCAAAGCATTGATGTTGACCAGGGCCCTTTAACAGTTAATTCATGTGAACAGCTCTACTGTCCCTATTTCCTATTGGAAGTTGCCCCCCTATATTTTCTATTCCGTTTTTGTGATGCCTTCTGAACAGAGTTTTGAAACAGAGGGTAGGACTCAATCTTTTTTACGTTGATGAAATTTGAAAACAAATTATCTGCAAGAAAGTTTACACTCTTTTTTTATAAGAACCAGTAAATTTAAGTTCAGGCTGAGTGTTCCTAATTTTTTCGAAAATCCGAGGCTGGATTATTCTTAATTTTTTCTTGTAATTTGTGAATTAATAAGGTGTAACTAGTGCTATTGCTAGCTTTTTCGCTCTAAGGAGGTGTTCAGGCCTCATTTGCCAGCAAAGTGAGTGAGACAGCCTTAATTTGCTGACAAATTTGAATATTCACCGAAAAAGCACCCACGCATCGCTAAAAATCTTCGATTTTGAGAAAAAACGTTGTTCAAAATTGCATTTTGCAGAAGCTCAGCCTCAGCTTGTTCTTAATTTGTTCTTAACTTTTGACCAGTTTTGAGCTTTTGACTTCGTATTTTTAAAAAATTGTTCTTGTAAAAAAAGAGTGTATTTGTTGCTTTGTATGTGTTGTAAGAAGCTCGTTTCTTACGAGATGCAAATATTATTTAAAAAATCTAATAACTCACAGTCTTTTTTGTTGTCTACACTATTTATTTTAAGAAGCGGACGCTCAAGACTCAATGCTCTTATTTTCTTCCTCGACGTTGTTCTTATTTCAAGAGTGATTTTCCTACATTCACGTACTATAAATTCCTTCCAAGACTACTAAAGAAAAAAGATTACATTATATTTTTCGTAGCATGCATTATAAGCTTAAAAAGTCCGCCCTGACAAGTTTTCTATTCTAATTTTCCACCTTTTTGCTAATTTTTGGCAAATTGAGCCTCGGTGTTCTTAATAATAGAGTTCTAATAAAAACTTGAAAACGTAATCGAAATACACCTGTCGAACCACCGACATTGAAGAGGAAAATGCGATGTGAGTGGACGGAGGGAAGACAACAGAGTACTTCCGAAAGAAAATGCAATTATTTCAACATGTCTGTTCTTTTGAGATTGAAGAAAACCTTTTATGTGTACGATGAATGAAATAGCAATACTAGGAAGGCAGGCCATATCCGTTTGCGAAAGTGCCCAATTAGAATCTGAAGCAAGCGCGCTTTACAATAACAAAGGATAATGAATAGGTCAATGTAAGGCCATACATATTCATGATAGTATCTTCGCTGGAATTTATCATCCGTCGCTGGAACTTATTTACTTCTTTTTGATTGAGAGAAAGGGTAAGAAATCGTCGGAGATGTTTAACCCTCTCGATTTTGACTCTCCTGCCATACCAACTGGCTTTGCTATGTCTGAAGATTCGTGGTAAGTCTGAAAGCAATATATCATCTAGCTTTCTTCTGTCATATCCCTATGCGAGTTTGTGTGTACAATAATGGCACTAGATGGTTATCTTTTGTTTGATTACGTACGGCCTAGGCAACTGGCATCACTTACAGTGAATTGATTTATGTATTTAGTCATAAAAGACGAGGGAAATACGAAAATGCATTTCACATCTGTTTGAACTTCCTACGGTTTGGTGACTAAATTCTTTTTGACCTATTACAAAATACAACAAACACGATTCTATTCGGTTTGGAGCAGGTTTAAAATCTGTTATAACTGACAAATCTGAGAGTTTTGTATTTGTCCAGACTGCATTGCTGCTCTACTGAAAAGGTGAAAAGAACAGCGTACACAATGAGCTGCTCGGTTTCTTTCTGAACCAGGCCCGAGCCAAAGGTGGCATGGGGTGGCAATGCGACCACTGGAGCAAGAGAATTGTTTATTTGGATCTGTTATCCATATATTATGTTTATTGGGGCCTCTTAAGATGATGCCTGGCGCTCATAAAAACTCTCGGTTCTAAGCAAAACTGAAAAAAAGACTTGCCGAAACGTCTGCCTGCAACAGGTCTGGGGATTTGCCACCCCTACTCCACAGGCCTGGCTACGGGTGAACAACTCCCCTTACTGAATCGACCGTTGCTATAGAACAGAAGCTGTAATTTCGAGAGCTTATGCGTTCCTTATTTGCAGTGCAGTAACAAGCCGCAAAAAACCTTAGCTTTTGGGCGTGGTCCTTTGCCAATGTGATAGACAGTAAGGGAAAAGATAGCTTGGAACATCCCTGAAAAGGGAATCTCTATTCCATCCTAATTTCATAAATACCGACTGATTTTCAAATCACAAAATTTATTCATAAATTTTTTTTTATCCAAGTTGCTTTGTTATTCAAACACAATGAGGCACCTCACGCGACAAATTTTATCGCACCAGTCTTTTTTCGCGGGTATTTTGCGGGCATTGATAATGCATTTGAGATACTCAATTTCTGTCCATTCTTCTCAAAAGGCTTGTCAAATTACTTGTCTTTTATCAACTCTATGAGTAAATGGGCAAGCTAACACTGTCAAGGAGCCTAATTCGAATGCTTTGAGCTACATAAAGATAAATTGAAGTATGATGTGTCGCATTCTCGTCTTCCGTTTATTTTATTCTGTAACTGAATTTGTAGAGGATGCCAGGCACCCTGGAGCCCTGAGCAAAGTGGCGGATGAGAGAGGGTGCTTAAACCGGATAAAGACAGGATCGACTATTCTCAATTCTTTAGACTTTTGCAAAAGACTGGCGAGCTATAGCCCCCAAGCCTCATGCGCCATTGCTATGCGCAGCCTAGCATTTCCAAATTCTGCTGTGTCGGTTGATTTTACCTACTTGCCCCAACCTGAATGAAAATGTGTATTGAGTAGGGGTGCCATCCTAAAAGGTTAGGAAGTGGGGCTGCCTTTTAGGGAACTTCTAGAAGCCACACCCAGGTCCGGATAAAAAAGATTGATAGGAAATTGCTCTTGACGGAAAATCAATAGCAAAACAAAGGGTTAATTCACATTTTCGATCAAGGATTTCGCCGAACTAAACATATAATGGTTTGTCAAAGAGGGGCTAAGCCCCTCCCAAAAATATCTCTAAATCTTAACTAGGAGGGACTGAGCCCACTGAGCCCCCTCCACGGTACCACTGTCATTGAGATGAGAGCTGGGAAAAGAGAGGGGTATCTGAACTAACCTGCTGCATCCCATTTAGTACTCTGTAGAAAAGCTTCGTAGCCCCAAGCCCCCACTTCCGACGGCGCTGTCCTAGGATGAAATCGGCCCACGTCCAACATTCACGTTCTCATACACTTCAAGAACAAGCTTGCGTTGAGCTATCGTAAAATGCAATTTTGAACAATGTTTTATTTCATTAACGAGGACTTTTAGCAATGTGTGGATGCTTTTTCGGTGATTATTCAAACATGGCGGAAAATTAAGGTTGTCTCATTCAATTTTTTGGCAAACGAGGCCTGAACACCTCTCTAAAGCGAAAAAGCTAGCAATCGCACTGGTTACACCTTATTAATTCAAATGAAAAAATTAAAAAAAATTAAGTTTAGGCAGCCAGCCTAAACTTAAATTATAAAAAAGAGTGTATGTAAACCCCCGGATCCAGCTCATGCTACCGAGCCGCTGCCCGATGGAGTTTCAAGCCGGCAACCTCCATTTTTTATCAAAATTTAAAATGGATCAAGTATAACTATGAATTCATTCTAAATTTATTTACACCCAATTTATAAGAACAATTTTCTAAGAGCCTCAGAATTAGTCAAAAGTTACTTTTAAATGTAATTTCAGAACAGGGGTGGGCTCAGGCTAGAATCCGGCCCGGAAAGAGAATTTTGTGGCCCGCGAGATGAAAAATATCATATTAAAATTTTTTTTAGTTAACAAAGATGATTTTCAAATATTAAAATTTTTTTTAGTTAACAAAGGGGGGGGGGTTGTGGGGGTTATATTGGATAAATTGGTGTTTACGTATATTTAAGTGAATGTTTTTAGCTAGAAGGCCGATGCTAAACGTTCATTGGTGGATAATTCTGTATTTCCTTCAAAGGCCGATTTCCAGGGACCGCGCACCAGTTTAAAAGTGGAGGGGCTAAAATGGCTGTGCCCGAAAAAAATTCTTTGCAAAGCAAAATTCGAGGCATCTTTGCAAACTATATTTGTAAAATAGGTTTGTGATTGTATTGTAATTGAATTTAAATAAAAGTTTTTCATTATCATTATCATCATTCTATTATAAAGATCGTATTCATTTTTCTTGTTACCTTTTGCCCGCTTAAGGAAAAGCTTTGAAGAATCTGGCCTAGGCCCCAAAAAAGTTACTCACCCTTGTTTTAGAAAATTGTGTCTCCCTTAAAAAATTCAACTCAAAACGAGGAGTTTCTTGCTATCTAGTGGTGTTCTTTCGGAGAATTTTAAAACTTGTGGGCAAAAAAGGATGTCCAACTTACTTTGCTGGCAAATGAGGCCTGCACCACCCCTAGGGCACGCTAAAAAGGAGTTGCACTGCTTACACCCTAATAATTTCAGATAAAATGAAGAACAGTCAGCCTGAACATCACAGAACTGGTTCTTATAAAAAGACTGTAGGGCCAGAGCAATTTCGCGTGACGGCACCTCTCTTGTCTCGCCATTTCTCAGCAAGCCTGCAACTTGTTGTTATGGGCCAATTATTCCCAAAACGTTGCGAACAAAAACAAGATTACAGCCCATTTGTTAAGTTGTCTGCAGCCTATTCAGTATTTCCGGACGACGAATATCCCCGAGGTTCAAAACTTTTTGTTTTGCCTCACTTTCACAGACATGCGGTTTTGGCAACCTTTGCTGCCTGGATGAGTGACTGAATCGTGTGCTCCAGCAACTGGGCACGTGAAGGCTTCCAAAGCAAACTTAGTGGATGTATCTATGTGGAAAGCATTCAATATCATCACAGATGATCAGATTTTTCATTGTATTTTAGCTGTCCAAGAATATCTCAGCACCAACAACCTTTAAGACACCATCCAGCGACTTGGCAAGAATCTAGGCCAGATTTGGCTCAAGGCCCCACGATAACTTCGGCAACAGGCGCTTCAGTGGCAACCGAAAGAAGTATCATTCCACACGAAATGTTTGAAGACCATCTACCGCACGGTATGTTGACATAAAGCGCCCTACTGCTCTTAATTCATGTTGTAATATGAAATGTTGGACTCGATTTCAATATAACCTTTCGAACAACATTTTCTCTTGCATAGGCTATATTTTTTTCGTGTTTTTTGAAGGGATTCTGTTAAATTCGTATTATTCTCTTCCTTCTTTTTCTCAACAAAAGGCCATCCTTTCGCTTGTACCATTTCGTTCTTACAAAGTTCTTACCTCTATCTCGAGACTTTGTTATCTGATCTTTCATTATTGTGGTTTGGCGGTTCGTTCTAAATTCATTTCTAGCTTGCCTATTTCAGCCAAAATATTTCTCAAATCTAGTGTATGCTTGTTATGTAAAGATGCAAAAACTACTTCTTTGTCAATGACGGGCCTATTAGACCACAATCATGAAAAGGAAACATGAAGTCATCACTCGTGAACCACATACGAAAAAAACGGACCAGAAATTAGAAAACTGGTTTGCACCAGAAAATCTTCAATGAATGGACAAACCAGTCCCACAGGGTACCAAAATTATCTTGTCAAACAGTTGCACCCCGACCCATGCAACAACCCTTCCAGCCCTGCTCTTCTCCGATCAAATAGGGATTCCCCTCTGACGGGGGTTCCCAGGCAATAAAGGAATCGCCAGAATTACGAATAAGGCTAATTTTATCAAACAATGTAAGAACGTATAAAGGGGTGTATCACTATTTCCGAACTGCGTAAGATATCTTTCAGAACAATAGCATTTTTAGAGTTTTTTCAGGAATTTTTCTCAAAAACAATATGGATTTTACCAAAAGGCATAAGAGATTTCCATGAAGTGATGATGAAAAGTCGAAAGAAAAAAGCAATGTCGGTTTTAAAAATTTATTCTCGTGTTAACTAAACATAGCAGATTTTATCAGCCAGTTAACCCGCTTACAAAAAAATCCATGGAAAACTGTTATTTAGTGCAATTATTTGTATTGTAGTTGTAGAAAAATCAGTTTTGAAATATGAACAACATTTAGAACCCTCGAGCTTCAAATTATCTATAAAATAAGAACATCGTTTATCGGCCTGGTTCTTTTACGAAAAGAGTGTAAACTTAGAAGAATTGTCAACCGTTCAAGCATTCAGCCACTCATTTTTCAAAAACGCTCAATTTAGCTGTTTTCCACAGCGGCGAAACCTGTTTTAGTATTCAAAATAATTTTCATTCAAGTGGTAGGCAGGGCATTCCTCTCAACCATCGACCGCATTGCATAACCCTTGTTTTCTCGGCTGATTATGGTACTATATGGTATAACGAATAATTTAAGCCCTTACAACATTTTCCAAAATTCATCGAAGTTACGTTACGGATGACGTCAAAAAAGTTCTGTTTCCTAGACTGAAAATAATTGTAACTTCTTAAGTACACGCCTGACTTCAATATAACCGCTAGATTCGGGCTCGCCTGAAGGAAAGCTTTCCAATGATATATACACATCAGTATTTTAACGATGCCAGCAATTTTCAATGACGTCATCGGTAACGTGACTTTGATGAATTTTTGAAAATGTTGTAAGGGCTTAAATTATTCGTTATACCATATTGTTCCATAATCAGCCGAGAAAGCAAAGGAATGCTCTGCCTATGGTTAAAAGCAGTATTTGTGGCACTCCCAGGTACCAATAGAAATTAAAAGGAATATACTTCCGTATTGCTGCAAGGGAGATTTTTAATGCAAGAAAGCCCCCTCTACAAACCCCCCTTTCTGAAAAGAACTGCCCCGCCATTGGACGAAATGTAGAGAAAATAAAAAACACACTTCGAGGGTATAATTATAAAGCAATTTCAAGTAACTGCTAAATGGAAAATTTCGCAGAAATTTTAGAAAAGTTTTTCCTGGTAATTACACGTAATTCCTGTATCGTAAATTATGTAAGTGCTATTTTTATTGTATATAAGTATGAAAAAGGCTCCCCTTTAAACGCCCTTTCGAAGGATCGCTCCCCAAAACATAAATAAAACAATAAATGCCTCAGGCGTTTTTGTCAGGTGGGGTGGGTTTAGGGTAACGGTTTCGGTGAACGATCCGCTAATTTCCTCAACGTGTTTTCACGAAGAGGCATCCTAGAAGAACTTTCGGGTATGTAACAGAATGTAACAGATTTCAAACAGATATATATTCACACCCCACTCTTTTAATTTAATTTTCTTAATGTAGATAATCGATGTAGTTCAGCACGTCGAGTAATGAGCAAAAATCAATACAACTAATTAACTACTTTATACACGAATGAAGATAAGTACGACGTTTCGAGCAGCCAAATTCCTGTCAACTTTTCCTCAGCAGTTTTAGCGAGTTTGTAACACACAACCCATACGCTGGTTTTGATTATGCACTCCCACGCCATGGCCCCACCCCCTCTTCTTTTGTTAAAAGATAATTGTAAACAGGGCCGTTGCTAGCGGGGGGTGCGGGGGGTGCGGCACCTAGAAAATTCTTGTCGGCAAATTTTCAAAAAGTAGAGTTTTGTCAGGTTTTGCTTTCAAAGTTCCCAAAGCAATAGCTTTAGCGAACAGTTGGGATAAGATGAGGATGTGAACTTAAAAGTATTGCCCAAAAGCCCTTTGAAATCAATGAAACGTGGGTATGCCTCAAAATAGTTAAAAGTTCTAAACGATTGCAAGAAATGACTGCAAGAAATATTCTGAAATGCATTTTAAGACAATCTTCTCGCTCCGCTCGCAGGGGGACCTCGTCTTTCGGTTTTGTTTCAAGGCCTTCGAAACCTAAGTACCCACAGTCACTCGAAAATTGAAGCGGTGATTTATGGCGCGCATAAACCGCCAAAAATAGCTCTTTCTAAAATTTCAGCAACTTTCTAAAAGTTTAGTGATCTTCTAAAAGTTCAGTTGCTCTGTCTAATGGTGAATGTTGATAACCTCTTCCTGAACTTTGCCAAGCAGCCTCCTTTTCCACCATTTCCCCGAGAAAGTAAGTGCCGGTGGCAGCATGGCTGGCATTATTGCTTCAAAAAATCCATGACCCCAGATATGCAAAAAAAATCAAAAATTGAGAAATTTTTTTTTGGGTCGAAACAACCTAAAAAGCTTTAAAATACGGCCGCAACACCATTTGTGGAGTTTCTAATGAATTTCAGGCCCGTACCTCTCAAAAAGATGATCTTTCGCAATCAATTCTTATTCTTCTGATCATGTCACAAACCAAATCAGCAGCGGACCATCGTTGTGGCAGAGAAGCTTCCGCCATGACTTTCCTATATGCTGGAGCACAAAAGGAGGCTGCTTGGCAAAGTTCAGGAAGAGGCTATCAACATTCACCATTGAAATTTTGGAAAAGCCACTGAAACTTTAGAGTGATTGAAATTTTAGAAAATGTTAAGCGGGGGTTCAAACTTTAGAAATGGTTGCAATATTAGAACTAACCTAGCATGACTGAAATTTTAGAAATCTCGCAGAGCAAGCGATTGGAATTTTAGAAACGTTGCTTAAGTAATTGAAATTTTAGAAAATGTTGAACGGTGGTTGAAACTTTGGAAATGACTGAAATTTCAAGACTAGACAGAGCAACTGAACTTTTAGAAGATCACTAAACTTTTAGAAAGTTGCTGAAATTTTAGAAAGAGCTATTTTTGGCGGTTTATGCGCGCCATAATGATTGACTAACGAGAACATCCTCTTTGATAAACAAAATCAATTGCGTCAAAATGCCACACCCCTACATTGAAATATCTTAGGCCACGCCCTATTTTGTCGGCAAATTGGTGACTGGCACCCCCCCTAAGTGAAAGGGCTTAGCGACGGCCCTGATTGTAAAATCGTTTGTTATGAGTCTTTATTTAAAGCTTGTCCTCCTTTCCAACTTGTTTGCATCTCTCCACAGGGCACCCTCTTCAAAATTAAATATTTCTTTTAACTGTGCTACTTTCACCAAATGCGCAGTTAAAAATTGGGTACTAGAATCGGATTTAAAGAGGTCCAAAAATATGAAACTTAAAGGTAATGTGTCCAGCTATAGCAGGCGACTCTGCAGGGGTTTTTAGAAACATGTGATTCTTCATGTCTTTAAAGGTAATCTGTCCATATAAAAGGACTGCGTATACCCAACTTGTCAAGCCACCCATCAAAATAACGGTTTGCGATTGGTTGGTATTCTTGCGATGCAAAACTGCTCACATGAAAAGCTGACCTCGCAGCAGGATAGATAAACAGAACGACTGTAATGGCTGGGGCGATGGCATGAAAAATCACATGTTTCTGAAAACCCCCGCAGAGTTGCTTGCTTTAGCTGGACACATTACCTTTAAGTAACTAGGCCTTGAGCAATGTTCTTTATAAAAAATCTGCATCATGCTTGCTCTTGCTCTATTGCCCTCAATACGAAAACGTAACCTCCAGACAAGGTCTAGTGTTATGGTTACTCAGACACATTGATAGGCGCCTGCCGTTTATACCAGTGACCAGTATTTACTCTAAGTAGCCAATCTAAAAAGAAACACAGTTCGGTAAAAATAACTGTACATTGAAATTCCAGCGTTGTTTGTGCAGTTAAAATGTCAGGGCGCCGAATGAAAAACAGTACTTAAGTATTTCGTATAAACCATTAAGAGCTTTAATCCAAGTTTTGTGACGTTTTGTGACATGTCTTAACTTTTGTGGTCAAATGTTTTGAAAATGGTTCGTGTGTGCGTTTCCCTTTGTTTTTATTTTGCGCTGGTGAATTTTATCAGCGGGTCTCCTATGAAAAAATTATGTTTTATGCTGGAACAAAAAAACGTTAAACCTAGCTGTACTTTCATTTAACGGATAGCAAAGTCGGATGATCTTAGAGACACGCATTCAAAACGGGATATGCAAATGGGACACAACGGGGTGTTTTCTGGGACTACTGTAAAATACAGCATTTCAGCCTAGTTTTTTGGAAAAAGTTTATGAAATGTTGGAAGAAGATATATTTAGACCCTTGAAAATATTTAGATAAACTTTTATTGAATATGTTTAGGTATATTTAGATTCTTGCAAACAAACATGCCATTTTCCAAACGTTCTTTTGGAAAAATCAGTTGAAAAGAATTGCTCCGGGCGTTACGATAAAGGCAAAGATAAAAAGGGCCGTGGCGTATCTTCCACAAGAGTATTTATCCTCAGGGAGAACAAAATCGAAATTCTTAGAGCCTGATCTTTAAAGGTACAATTGATGTTAGTTTTATGAAGTTAATCGATGATTTTTATTCTAGATCCTCGAGAATGGAGTCCGCACGATGTCTTTTTGTGGCTTCAGTGGGCATCAAGGAATTACCGAATCCACAATCCATTTCCGGAGAGATTTCAAATGAACGGGAAAGCGTTATGTTTAATGGATGTCAGTATGTTTTTATACCGTGTACCTGAGGGTGGCGATATGCTTTACCAAGATTTTCAATGTAGACTCCAAAGAGCTGTCAGTGACGAGAGACCCTACAATAGGTAGCAACAGGCAGTCAAGAAGACTAGCAGAATAATTGAACAAATATTTGGCCAGGTATGGGAGCAACGCTCTAATGACTTGCTCTTTGAAGACACCAGTGGATGTGGTCTGTTGGCCTAAGATAGTCACGTCTTGTAAAGAGAGGGGTGTTCCTTCAAGAAGCGGGTATAACTTGAATTTGGCTTAGGCTACGTTTTCAGGAAACAGCCCAAAAAGCCGTGTTAAAGGACCTTTGACTTTCAAAGATTCAATTATTTAAAAGGTAGTCTTTTAGAGGTTTATTTATATTATATGTTCGTTAATGAACATTGAATGTATTTTAATACAAAGGCAACACAGATGCTTAATTTTGGCAGGAAACGCGAAAATGATTTTAGCACCATACGTACATAAGTAACGGAGAGACTATCTATAATTTTATTGAAAGAAAATTCAGAGAAAAAAGATGATCAAAACTTCTGTCATTTACTTTTGAGTTTTTCTGCAAATTTAGGCTGTAAAGCCGCTGCTTTCTAAAGGCCTTTATACATGGAGAACTTTACCACGGCATTTTACATGGAGTACTTTCCTACGCAGATATTTCCTCGCCTTGTCGGTACTACTATGCTTGTTCAGGAGACGAACCCGCGTTTGTTCAAAGGTCCCTTGGCTTTCAAAATTTCGCATCCGTTGAACATGCGCAGTTAAAATCGATGACGTTATTTTCACATCATATGATGTTATCAGCGGTAGGCGCATTGGTGGCTCGCAGTGGGAATAGGCCTGTCTCGAATATAAAAAGAAGGAAATTCAGAGAAAAGGGTATCTTGAGAAGAGCGAGAATGCCATTGAGGTTTTTATGATTCAACAATGATAAATTGTAGTTTGATTGAAGCTGTGAAGCACCATGAGATGCAACTTTTGTCCCCAAGCCTTCGCCCTAATGAGCATGTGCATATGACGCACTTTCTGACAAATCAGATATAGAGAACTGGATGGCAAAATAGCCCTAAACAACAGGAATCTAGACTTGTCTCCCTCATAAGTACTGCTTTTCTATCTATCAACCAAGCGGCTTATCGCGTGTTTTGTGATTTTTGGCGGGAATAAACATTATGACGTATTGGTCGATTAACTGCTCAACAGGGGTGCCTTTCATCTAGTATTTTTTCGTTTGGGGAAGGTCCAAAGCAGCCCGCTGTGAGACAGGTCAATTGCTGTCAGCATTTTTATTTTATCAGTGTAGATTGCGAATATGAATAAATTTGGTTTCTGCCCAATGAGAAGTATTTGCTTGCTCAGTTGGGATCGATAATTTTTTCTCTTTTGATCGCTCTTGCTCTTTTTATGTTCAGGACAGGATTTTGGCATCAAGGGATTTCCGTCCGCAAGAGTAAATGCCGGGGAAATTTTAATTACTGTTTACAGTAGAATCCCGTTATAACGGACTGGGTTATTACGTACTTTCGGATATAACGTACTGGTGTGCTTGGTCCCGACAAAAAATGTGCTTGGTTTTAGTCAATTTTTACTTACCCTCGTTACAACGTACTCGGGATATAACGTACTTAATACACTGGTCCCTTAAAGTACGTTATAACCGTATTATACTGTACTGGCTTATGTATGTACGTATTTATTACCTTAGTTATATCCTCTTCATGTGTTATACAGTAGATTCGATTTAGATTAGTTGTATGTGTATATATCCATATATATATGTATAGCTAGAAAAAATATCGAATTAAAATAAGGTTACAAACAAAAACTGGGTCCTTGGCAGGGGACAGCTTCGTGAAAGAGAATTGGGGTACCTCAAAATTTAGCTTTCGAAATTCAGGCACGTAAAAGTTTGGCAAAATTTAGCAAGTCACGCAGACTAACGTATATAAAAACATACGCCCAGAGGCGCTGTCCTTAAAAGTTAGAAAGTGGGGCTGCGATGTAGAAGCCATACCCAATACCACACCCATATTCACACCCGGTATACTTGCACTTGTGAGGGATTTTCTGTTGTGTATATGAAACGAAACAATTCACAGCCTCTAAAAAGCTAATAGAAATTGTTCATTAATGGAAAATCAATAGCATAATATAGGGTTTATCCACATTACCAATAAAGAGTTTGGCTTTTTAAGTCTGTCTAAGCCATCATGCTCAGCTGTCTAGAGTTTACGGTAAAAAGCATTGATAGTGCAAAAATACACGATCCTGTTAAACCTTATATGAACCATACACGATCCTGTTAAAGGGGGCACTTCTTGGGCCACCACAGCACCATAAGGTATGTTACCCGGCTTATTTCCTCGCTATTCCTCGTGTGTTGCCACGGGTTACCCTTTTGCTAGTTGGTGGACAAGCGATAACTCCTTAGGCACTCTGCCTCTCGACAGAATAAAAGATAGCGAACGAAAAAGACACAACTTTGTCTGTAATTAAGTCAAACTCATGCGATGGGTGGTATCTTTAAAACGAATTCCAGTGCTATTTCAAAAATTACGGATTTATAAGCTTTCTTTCTTCAAAGTTGGATATATTCGATGATTCAAAACATAAAGAAACAGATGAAAATTTATATTGATTGTCACATGAAGTCACAAGAAACATATGAAAGTTCTTAGCGAAGACTCACCAATCGATTTTTCGTGCTTTGCGTCCAATTGACATTAGGGATGGGGGATTCTGTCAGCGGATGCTTTTTTCGTTAGAAAATATCGATTTCATGGTCTGAATTTATGAACACCATATTAGTTTTCATCTGTACTAGACTCCCTCTTTTCAAGTGCTCGCTTTCTCGGTTTGAGTGATAATATATGGCATTAAACTTTAGGCCAAAGTTTTTTCAATGAACTAAATAAATTCTTTCGTGGATGGTAAGTCGACAAAGTATAGCAGGCGTGAAAAGCGAACTGCGAGTCTTTTCTAAGAAACATCGAGAATCATAATAATTTTGGAGGTTGGAACGAAGGAGAAACTCAATTCGCATTAAAAGACCTAAAAAAATTAAAACATGCAAGACCGGGCTTATCAGTGTCGAAAGTTGAAAGGGGATTATTGAAGAACTTGAAAAATCGATGGTAAATTAAGCAACAAAGCGTTGTTTGAATTAGGGAGAGTGAAATTGATGTATGAGATAAAATACCTTATCTTTGGGTGCACGCTTTAAGGGATTCACCATTGCAGTTAAGAATGAAAAAATACGTTTTGGATAGAATAATGCCTGTGAAATCAATTTTTTTCCATGTTGGCATAAGTAGAATCAAACCAAAAGCTACAACATCGTTAGAACAGAAGAAGAACAAGTCTGTGTTGTCGTCTTTTCGATAATTTTTGCATTGTCCGACTAACCTAACGATTTATCTTTCGTTAAAATGCGGCGCCCTGTAGAGGAAGAGTGATCCCAAGATTCTTTGTGGCCTTGCTCTGTGCTTTTGCAGCTTCTAGTAAGGAGAACGTCTGTGCCATTTCGGCTTCTGTGCGTACAAGGTCGATAGCTTTATTGAACAATTTAATGGCCTCTTCGGAATTACCTCTGCGGAAAACAAAGAAGATTGAGCATTGCGAATGCAATGAAAGACATACGCAGATTAGAATAAAATTCCTAAAAATATGGCTGTAGCGTAATTTGTTTCTTCTTCAAGGACTAGTCAAGTGACTTATATTAGTCAAACACTGACAAAATACCTGAAACTTACGATGAAAACTTAGCGCAAACAACTTGGAATAAAGTTATTCCACGAAAGATGACCATGATTGAGAAAGAAATACTATGTAAAATACTTACCGTTGGACTTCCAAAGTTGCTAGAGTCTCGTACGCGAAATCACACTTGTCATCAATGGCTATTGCTTTGCGGATGAGCTGATTGGCAGCCTCGAAATCACGTTTCCATTGCAAACAAAGTAGCCTGAAATGACAGAGAGGCACTATAAACTACTTAAGAAACATCTATGTGATCAGAATGTAAAAATACCCCGAACTCCGGGTGATAAGAAGATCAATGGTCAAATCTTGTTCTTCGTAAAAAATTATTCTAACCCATTGCAATTGAGCTAAATTGCATAGGTATTCAAGCCAGAGGCACTGAACTAAAAAGTGCCAGGCAAACTAAAATACACAGGCTAGAACACGTAAGCCAACAGAAAAAGTATTTTATACTGAAGGAAGAACCTCAGGCTTGGTGGGCGATGCTCAGATCCAGTTAAAGAAATTCAGGTCCCACGAAAGCTCTGACCGGCTGGGTTTTCGTTTGGTAGGAAAGCAAAGCTGTATACTGTAAAACCGATTTCATTTTTATTTAAATTTTTATCCAAAAAATATTTCAATAACAAATTTCAAGGAACAGTAAGAATTGTTGCAATTTCTAACAAACACACAATTTGCTGAAGCCTTATCAAGATAATGTAATATTGGTATTATTTGTTAATAAACAACACCCGATTTCCCACTATAACAAGACATTTCATTCATCAAATATTTTTTATAAAACCTAAATACAACTCAAAAATAACTTTTTAGCTTAAAAACCTTAAATCTAAGGCTACAAAATTTAATAAGCAGGACTTTGAAAGATAAACATAACAGAGATTTGATAACAGACTAAAATATGACGTTGGGAAAGTTGTTAGAAACTGGTTCACTCGCTCTATAAAGGTCTTACTCCGCCTGTCTAGCACCTTTTTTTGCGAATGATAAAAGCTCATTGCTATTTGAAAACGAATATTCTAATCCGCAAAAACAAAACCACAAGAAAATGCGAATCGATAAGTCCGAAAATAAAAAGCAAAAGAAATTTGAACAATTACGAATTAAAGAGTTTAAAATGCGAATTTAATAAAAATGGTATATATAATTTTGAACATACGCCTTGTAAACATATGAAGTGGGGTTCTGCGGCTGGAGGTCAATGGCTTTTTCCAATTTGTCTTCCGCTTCTTGGAACTGCTGCTGATCTTGTAGCAACTAAAGATAAAACCAATTCGAGCACAGAACGGTCAAAGAAAAAGTATTCATCTTTTAATTTACATATCAAGTTATTTATTCAAAGGTAGCACTGAAGAGCAGAAATAAATTCAAATTTTGCACTACCAAACGCTCTTTTGGTTATTAATCTATTTTTTTACTTTTCGTTGGAAGGACTATTTGCTGTCAACAAGTTTTTTTGTTTTCGCTTTATATTTTTTTCATTAGCTGTTTATCTAAACAGTATATATAGTAAGTAGGCATTTGTTGGATAAAAACAACAATAAAAACCATAATTGAAATAGCGACAGAGATTAAAGTATGCTACTCGGATGCTAGCGACGCAGTTTTAACAAAATTCCGTGACATCTTTCAAAGGACTTTAAAACATGAATTTCTGATATCCATTAAACTGATATCGACTGCATAATCAGAATAATGACGAAATTAAGTTATCCTATTTACAAATATTGTTACTATCCATGAATAAGTTTTACAAATGTAGATAAATATGTAGATAAAGATGCACAAGTTTCTGTTGAAGGTTAAAGAATGAATTTGCAGTGACCAAGGGATCGCCCCTCCCCCACACAAGCAGGACCGGAAGGGATATCGACAGTCAAGTTAACACATCATTATCTTTCCATTGACAGAGGCTACTGAGGACATTCAAGGAAAGCACATTTATCGCTTTTTTTATCACGTTTAGGATCTTTAATAGTTAGTTTTATATCCTTTCCTGAGAAAATTTGAAAGCAGATACACCATTATTTGACTGAATGGTAGCCCATGATTAAAATGTTTAAAATAAAAATAAAAATAAAAAATGAGGTAAATGCATGTTTCAAGATACCTGTCCGTAAAGACTCCAAGCCTCAGCGGATTCCGGGAACTTTTTCGTTGTCTGTTCTAGAAGTTTGTTTGCATCCTGCATCATCCCGGCAGAAAACATTTTCATTGCTAATTTGCAAAGGCAGTAGCCAAGTTGCAGACGCGGAGCAACGAAGCTCTCGTTTAGTGCGATGGCCTTCTCAAAGTCTTTCTTCGCTTCTTCTAACTTTTCAGTCAGGAAATACAGCTGAGGATTCAATGGAGTTTACTATATTTAAACAAAAAATGAACGGTCTTTTGCAAAGAGCGATGGAGTCAGGAAAACTTAATATTACAAATCTAACAAGTACGTTATGCTGACAATCTAAACAGTTGGTATTGGAAACATAAAATGGGACCTCAGACGAGAGGTTCTAAAACTTTATGAGCATAAAGTTCATGACATCAAAATGACGTAATTCATTTACCTGTCCTCTGTGATGATAAACGTCTGCATTGTCTTTGTCAACGTTGACTGCTCTTTCAAAGTCATCGAAACACTCAGCGTCCTTTGCTTGTTGCATCTTCAGACTTGCTCTCTTGATCAATGCATTCGACACAAGCTGTTTTAAAAAATAAACATAGAAAAATTTGGTTATACGTTAGAATAGCAGTAATCCTCAAAGTCAAATATTCTTTTTAAACCTGCAACAACTGAATCCTGATCTTTTTCCTTAAAAACTTTCATATTTAAGGATGAATTTCGCCAACCGTTTCTCAGATAATTTGCTTAAGCATGAAGGGGTGGGGGAGGAGGACTGCGATCAGGGAGTACCCCGAGATTATGTCATGCAAAAAATCATACCTAAAATCAGACAGTTTTACCATAGAAATACATACGTACAGAAACCCGACAAATAAGCAACTCGAAAAATTTTCTGCGCATCTCCTACCACTCTAAAAACTCCATCCGCAATACTTGGTGTCATCCTATTGTAGTCTCTATACGTTAAAGTTGTTGTGTACCTTACTGAATGCAGGCTCATCTCCAGTAGAAACCACTCGCTCAAAGTCTGCCATGGCCTTATCAACCGAAGACTCAAGGGTGTACATAGTGCCTCTGAGTAGTGCAGCTTTTACTTTGAAAACCCCATCTACAAACGAAAACATAAGTAAAGCATATTTATACATGAAATACACAAGAACGACTTGTTAAATACTGAAGAATACTACGATCAATGTAAGGAACAGTAATAATTTGACAACTCCCTTTTGAACCAATAAAGTTATGTATTTGACATATTTGGTTAATCAAAATATCTGATGAATCTGGGGCTTTGGTACATTTGTGGCTCTAGTCTACATTAGTGGTCTCTTGATTTCTAAAATACAAAACTATTCGGATTACATTGACAGTATGATTTCAAAAAGATAAGTTGAATTGAAATTAGCAGTCTTATGTAAATCATCAATATTTTGGATTAAGCATGAAAATGAAAGAGCGGTTGCTTGTGAAAAACAATGTAATTAGTCCCAAGGAGAGATGAGTATATCATAAATTTTGATACGATGAATAATGCTTATATGTATAAATACATTTGTAGAAGGCATTATAACAAAAAATTATTTGATTTTTGATAAAATATTTAATGATCTACAAACTATATAGTGCATAGTAAAAGATTTGCACCATAAGCAATCATTCTAACCTTTCTCTATTTCCTCTGTGCATAAGTTGATGATATCATCATATTTCTTGTCACTTAAATCATTAATTGCCATTAGATAGGGTGTGCTTTCTGTTTCTTCAGGCTTATCTTCAAGATTTATTGAAAAAACATCTAAAAAAGAATGGTTGGATGCAGGGTGAGGGGACCATCAATCGCTAAGCAACTAAGATTAGAATGAAGGTATTTGAAAAATGCTGCAAAACAAGGCTCTTTTTCCAATTTGAAAATAATTGATGCCAAGAAACTTACCTGTGCTAAATGAATCAAGATAGGATTTTACGAAAAACGATGATGGTAATGTGGGCTTTCTCTCCTAAAAAACCAAATAGAAAGTTGGATTATTACAAAACATTCCCATCAACCTAGTGCCGAATAAAGGTCTAGAATTAGGAAAAGGAGAGAAACATTGGATTTTACAAGACAAGGACAAATATTTCAAGTAATTCATTTTGGCCACCTAACACCAATACTCCCTTGGAAAAGAAGCGCTAAAAAGTTTCAGGGTTGACTGTTGAAACTCTTGCAGCCATTTTTTTTAATAATAAAATAAAAGCTAATTCACAATCTTATAAAAACATCTTATCAAACTTCTTGCATTAGATAAATATATATGTAAATATTTCTATATTCACATATTTAAATATATGTTTGATATTTATCAATTCATGCCTTAGAACATGTGAAGTTGTTATTCACATATCTAGTCAAATCTAAAATAATGGATAGGGTAACAATTCGAGGCAGAAAATATAAATATAAATTTGTCACCTTAATGTATTTAGCAGCTAATTCTTTTCCAACTTCTTTAAGAATTCTGTCAGCCATGATCATGAACTCTTGATTTTGAAACCCTTCCAGCAGGCATACTGCTGTAACATCTGAAGTGAAAGAATGAAAACCAGTAAATTTATAATGTAAAGACAGGGTCAGAACGTGTGGCTATTCTGCAAAATATAGATGGCATCTTTCAACATTTGGTTTAATCATCACAAGAACATTGGGGGGGGGGAGGGGGGCTAGAATATAAATTGCCTCTTGCATTTAAAAAATGATGCACAATATCCAAATAGCCACTTGTAGTCATACCTTCCAGACAGTCAATCTTCTTCCCAACATTATCATTTGCTCTTGCTCTTCTTGCTAATGCTTTGGTGTACTTTGGCATCAACTTTATAGCTTCAAAAAAAATATGCAAGTTTTGGTAACAAAAAACATAATTGATGAGATCATATCTAAAGAATGATCTAAAGAATAAATGAAGGTGGGTTACAATATTTTTGATAATTTGAGAATTATTTTGAAGAAATTTTGCAATAAAATTTAAGTGATAACTAGATATAAAACAGTCAAAGATATATATAAAACTTGATTAAAAATAAAATACACCAGACAGATACATATTCCATAAATGCAAACAATAATAAAAAACTGTTGTATAAATATAAACATGGGTTGTTGCCATTACAATAAGATTTTTGAAGTATTTTGTAACTATGTTGCTCAATTGGAACAACTTAATTTTTGGCAATGCTTGACTAATAAATAAATTAGTCATAGAACTAGAGCTAGAAAGGTATATTATTATTTGTATATTTATGCATGGTTTGCATTTGATTATTATTCACAATTTCAGTTCATACTCATGAACCTTCAAAGCCTTCACAAAACCTATTAAAAGAGGTGTAAAGTGCTGCTGACTGCTTCTTCAAAAAACTCACCTTGTGTGCAGTCATCAATGACTTCTTGCCAGTTTTTCTACAAGTTAAATAGTGAAAAATAATAATTTGAAAACAAAGTACATTATTATGTCTAAGAAATCAAAACCAGAGTACAGTCTGATGCAAATGGCCAACCTTGGGGACAAATTCATGCTAGATATCTCAAGAGTCACATAATGCGAATTAATGTATTAAAGTTATGTCATAAAGTGCTCCATGAAGTAGTTCTGCCATATAGTACTCCACTGATCTTGTTAGTGCATCTAGCAAACCTTCCGGACTGGCTCTATATCCCTAGTTTTTCCAAATGTCAAAACTTTCAATATGGATTTTGGGATACACTTTAAGTAATAAAAATTTTGTATAAAATTCTTACCATCTTCTCATGAGCAGCTGCCCTATTTTGATAGAATGTTGCAATGTCATCAGATTTCTCCTTAGGACATAACGTTATTGCTTCTGTGTAGCACTCTATTGCTGAATCATATTTTCCTCCTTTGAAGTACTTGTTGCCTTTCAACTTTGCTGATTGTGCAAGCTGTTCTGGGGTCTACGAGAGTTGTACAACAATTCAGAGAAGTCCTCTATAATTCGCCAGTATGGATTCCATGGCAAAATAATAGCAAAATGATTTTTTAAATTTGTCCATAAATGAGATTAGAAAAAAATGTGTCATTCTAAATTGTGTGATCCACTTAAGATTAGGACCGGTAAAAAGTTTTCAATGGCGCTGAGGTAAAACTGAAAAAGAAAGGCACTCTTGCGAGCAAAGCAAGCAGAAAATTATTGTGACCCCTTTCTTTACATTGGCTGCAGAATACACTGTAGAATATTGTTTCAATATTACTTTGTTTCAATTGTTTCATTGTCACATTTTGTTATTATTTCCATTCTATAAACAGATTACTATCATTCAACTATAAACAAATAAATTCCATTCTTAAAATTGAATTCCTTTTTTATGAGGTTCCCTAGACATGAAGGACCTTAGGCAATTTGCCCCCTTGCCCCCCTCTCCGTGGCCCTGCTTGTGAGATCATGTTTTTGGCCTTTTTAAAAATTATTTTTCAAAATTATCTCTTTACTTGCCAAATCTTTAGGAATTTGGATAACAGCCACTGATAGTAGTGATATGTAAGCATAGTTCAACTTTAAATCATGAATTTCCCAGAGATGTAAAATTGATGTAAACAGGAAAAGTGCCGGACAAAATATGCACACACTCAAGAATCAGAGAAATCTGGTGCACACTCAGATTTGCACACTTATCACAAATGCACACTTGCACTCCCGGGTAATAGCTTGTGAACCCCCCAGTTCTCGTCGAAAACTGCCATGAAATCCAGACCGGATAATTCAGGAGGCAAAGCATCTTTCGAAAAAAAAAATGCTCCAATAATAACAACGAGACACCAACAATACTGCTTTGCAGGTTAATTGGTGTCCGATAACTATTAAGTGATATTTCGTAATAATATTTTATTAATTAACAACGGATTACTGAGGAGTGGCCGAGATCAACTAACTTTTTCTGCAGCAGCCTCGTCAGAATCAGCTTTCGTCGTTGCATCTTGTTTCGAAGTTTCTGTCTCATCAGTTGTCTCCTCGATAGCACTGCTGCCTTTTGTAAGGTAATAATAAGCTAATCCAGCAACACACAACGCAGTTACAGGAACACCAATGTAAAGTGCAAGTTCCTTCTTGGTAAGCCCAAACGTTTCTTGCGAATCTTTCGGGATTTCCGACATTTCTATTAACTATTCCACAACCAAAATAAAATTCAAAATCTTCTTAATATGTTATCTTTGCAATTTTAAGCTTTGCATATCATTCACAACAATCAAACATGGCTGATTTAGTTCTCACATGAGACCCAACTTGTCAGCCATTACCCAAGACGAAAGTTGTGGCAGTTGCACTGCACAACGTGCAGAGGCGAGTAGCTATCACAATACCCCCAGGAAAAATTGTGTTTCTGCCGAATGAAGCGTTCGATTGATTTGAATGCAGGGGGTATATTTTCATAATGTAAGAGGTTGTCCGACCCATTCTCTTTCTGAGGTTGATTTTTTTTCATATAATTTTTGATAACCCCCGGAAAATTCCGCCAATCCATTTGTTATACAATAATTTCCGGGGATCTACTGATACTGCAAGTAAATGCTTGGCGGTCTTTTTCTCTGGGCCTAATATTGATATTTGTTCTTTTGCCTACGTCTGGTTACAATATTTCGTTTTGTTTTGCAAAGGTGGAGAAATTAGCAAGTCTTTCACTTATAGTGGAATCAACATACATAAAGAAGGAGCATGCTTAATCTGAAATTTGAATTCCTTGCTGTTGTTCAATAAAAAGAGGCCTAAAATTCCCTGGTCATAACAACCAAATCAAGAATGTTATCACGGAACTGATCTGTTATTGTACAGTCGAAATGATTTCATTGCAGAAGAGCTCAAGTGAAGAAAACAGTCCTACAAGGATTTTACTGAAATTGTGTGAACACATTTTAAGCAAGGGAGGAAGGCAAAAAATAGGCGAAGGTTAGAAATAGTTGTTTTTGTTGTTATCCTCTTTCTGTTCAGGCAATAATTGTAATATGGTGCCTTTTGAATATAGGTCTGCAATAGATCTCAAATTTGGTGCAAAAATTTAAAAGGACAAGAAAAGAATTTCGATAAAAGATAAAAGGACAAGAAAAGAATTTCTAAAGCCGAACAGGGAAGCTCAGTCATCCATATAAGTTATCTCCTTTCCTTAGCTTTAAATGACTGTTACACAAAAACAAAGTTTTAGCACGTTAGTAAATATTTTTTAAGAGTTTTCAAAAATATTGGTGATTTGTTGTAAATACTTTTGAAAACTTAATAACAGAATGGATAAGGTAGTTACTAGTAAAAGATAAACTATAAGTTTCTAGTAACAGATAATCTCAATTTTCTATCCTTTTTTTAGTTTGTTCTGAGTGTTTATATTTTAATCTTGTATCAGTTATTCACCATCTTCATGCTGGCCTTTATCATTTTGAAAACTTTTTTTGACACTTGAGCAAAAGAGCTGTCTTCTTTTAAAATCTTTATTTTCATGTTGCTTTCAATTAATTTCTTGTCATCATACTTAGCCCAAGATTCCTTTGTCTTGTTACAGATTTGGTGGCAAGACAGTTCCAGTATGCCTTAAAAGTTGTTGGAAGGTTGGTGGTAATCATACATATCATTGAAATTTAATTTATAATTTTGTGATGAAAATTAGATCTGAAACACCAATAACAAATTTAATTCAATTCAGTTGATCGGATTTTTTTTATGCTCTTCTTATAGCTATTTTGATCCATCTGTAACATCCGATGAGTTTCAACTTGCGGAGCAGATCAAGAAAAAATGTAAGTCTCACTTCGTTTGTGGCTTAAATCCTGTTAATGAATGTTTTGCAAACTACCAGTAGGATCACTGTAAAATTTTGCAGGTGGCCTATTATGTCTAAAAGAGAAACAGGTATGAATAATTTTTGAAGTATTTTATTACTTTTAACAAGCATTTTTTATCACATGTACACAATATAATTAATGACAAATTCAGAACTGAATATTAGACAAATTTTGTTTCAGCATGCTCATTTTGTTGTTTCAAGCCTAGCCAAATCAAGTTTTGATAATTCCCAGAGATATAATTTAATATACATCTACACGCAAAGGCTAGCCTGAAAAAGTCATGCCTAATTTGTGGGCATATTGAGCTAGCCATAAAGAACTATATTTTTGAATCAACCAACTTTATATATAGATAGGAAGCTTAATCAATCACTAATTCAATGAAGTTTGGTACATTGGGAAGGTCACCTTCATAGGGCATTATCTTTGGATGCACAGAATTGCTTGCAAGCACACCATACACACTTAAAGCTGTAGATGTGCACAATAAGCTGCAGAATGTCCAGTATCATTGAATTTAAAATATGAAATTTTAAATCCTTGCTTCCATCCTATCTTTGTTTAACATATTTTAAAGTGCTCTCCCCTTTTTTTAACTCTGTTAGGTTAATTAATTAATTAAGGTTTTTGTTAGACTATTCATTTGAACATATCACAAGATATAAACTGTCTGAAGAAGGTAACAACATTTTATTTAAAAAATTGTTGTCATCAGAAAGTTTAAGTCATTGGCTACAAATGAAAAACCTAATGGAAAAATGGTTGATTTTATTAAATGAGAAAATATATGGGGAAAATAAAAAATGTGGCCTTGACTTTGTTTTTACAAATATTTATACTGTTTGCTCAACTTTAAGAAGTTAATCATTAGATATCTCATCAACAATCTGTTGGCTAGTCTTAAATTGTGTTATTAAACAGCATTTTCATTTTATGCCTCTGTCACGGGGGTGCTTGATTTACAATACTAGGTACAGTGTTATAACATCAAGTTTTTCTTTCTGTTAGTTTTTTCTTGGTGATTTTGCTTTGATTATGGACTTATCTAGCTTTTTAAGTAATACACTGTCTGTAAAAAATTTCAAAGGGGAAAAATTTATGAAAAGGGCTAAAATGGTACCCTGTTTGCTTCTGATTTGCATTATTTAGATTACTTTCCTCCTTTTAGTTGCAAGAAGGAAGAGAGAAAGTGATGCAGCTATATTTTCAAAACTGTTCCAAAAGCTACAATCAAAGGTAATACAGGATATGTTGTCAGATGTTTTTCATTAAACTATTGATTTAATTGAACATAGAGATGTTTCCAGGTGAGCAGTTGTTAAACAAGAACAAATTTAAGGAACAAGCAATGAAAACTTTGAATTATATTTTAGCCTGTTCATCTGATTATTGATTTATTGAAAAGCCAACTTTTTAACAGATTTAGTTTTGAGTCAGAAAGTTTCATAAGATGCCATCAATTAACAAAAAATGGATTTACTGACTCTTAACCTGTTGTAGGTCTTTGTTTAGAGCTATCAAGGATTGGCCATATTTTTTAGAAATGGGAAAGAATATATATCTGATATTAATTCCCATATTTTGAAAATAGAATAAACCCTACTACTGACAATCACAAAAATGCTCATTCCATTTGTCATGGTTCTTGTTGCTATTTAAATACCTAGTATGCAATTTGAATACCTGTCTGTGTTTCATGTATAGATAATTCCTTTCCTTGAAAGAAATCAATACCTTGTTGGCAAAAAGAGTATCTTTGAATGTTCTATATTTCTTTTTATTGGAATACTTATATTGAAATATTTACTTAAAATCTCAACATTCAAAACATGATTATGCATTTGTGCCTCTTTTTGATCAGCTATGTTGAAAAGATTTTAACGTTAAAGACATCTAAGTTTTTTGTTAATTTATTGCAGACACTGCTTCAAAACAAATGGGGAGCAATCTATCTATTGGATTCGCTAAGCAATTTGAATTCGAGAGGCGGTAGTGAACAGGTTGGCCAAAAGTTTCTTTCTCCCTATTTTGGTTAATCTAATGAAATCATGAATTTGCCATTTGTTTTTAAGTATTTTGTAGAGTTTACAAGCGCTTGCATTTTAACAAATAAACTGAATTGAAAATTGTTTTGATTTGGTGAAGCTGTGATGTCAGTTAGAGAGCTCATAAAAGTTTATTTGTGTACGTCACCGACCAGTTCCAATTTTCTTTAAAATTTATCGAGTAGAATTAACAAAAAGGAACGAAGTTTTTGCTGTAGTTGTGTCATTGCTAGTAAAATGGATTCGGTAACGAAAACAGTAGCTTTGATATCTGAACTTGTAGTTTCAAAAAATGGCCTAAGCAAAGCTATGGCGCAAGAAAGTATTGAACAACTTTTGTATGAAGAAGTTTTGTACATAAAATCAGAAAAGGGAATCGATTCACTATTTATACATTATGTAGACTGAGAAAAACTTCTAGCCGAATGATAAACAGAGGAAAACAGCGCCTGTCAAATCTTATCCCCATGGCCAAGGATAGCGTCAGTTGCTTCATATCACATTATTAGCCACGACTCGTTATCACCGGTTTTTTCACTATGTTAAAATCCCCAAGAAGCAAGACTGGCAATGAATCTATCAAGGATCTAACTTTTCCGAAAAAAAATTAGTTGCCTGTCAGTGTCGCTTAATCCCAACTACCCTGCAAAATCAAGTTTGAATAGCCGCCTGTCGATGCCCAACGTCGATGAGATTGCTAGGCTAGCCTTACTGAGGCCAAAGTAGGCAACACGCATTGGAAAGGAAGAACTGCCCAATTGAGTCATACTTTGCATTTTGACACGCTAAAGACGCTTTTACTGGTATTCTTGATCCCCACTTTTGGTCCTGTTTTGGGAAACTGTGGTTTTACCGAAAGGAATTATTTGCCAAAACTTCAAAATAGAGCATGAAAGATGCTTGTAAATAACAGCTTAGATACTCCTGCTAGGCCATGCTTTGATTTTCTTTGTATGGAGACCATTCAGGAATCGATCAATTTTGGAAGTTTCAGACCTATGTAAAAGTCTATATGACAATAAGCAAAAATACATTTCTTCCCAAGGCGCACAGGCAGATAATGCCCTACCAGCAAAAGTATTGCAGGCATCTCTGCAAAGATTCAAAATAATATCATGTTTTATTTGATATAATTGAATTCCTTTATGCTTATGTAAACAAGTAAGTTAAAAAAAAAATATCATGCGATAATTTTGTGCTGATTCTAAATTTTTTGATTTCACAGTTTATAAATAATCAAATCTAAATTTCAAAGGGAACTTGATTCAGGACACGATTTGCATAACATCCAGACAAGTAACAAAGAGCAATACCATCTATCTAAAGTAAGGACAAATTGGGGGAAGCAAGTGTCATCCTATCTGTTTGTTGATGACTGGAATAAACTGGACACAAACATTAAGTTGGCAGGAACTTTTAATATATTTAAACAAAGGTTTTGGACAATGTGAACTGATTTTATCCACTATGATGAACTTTTTTAATTTTTTAATGTTTTAGTAAATCGATATAATTAGTTAAATAGAGGACCCTCATGAAAAGCACCCTCGAGTGACTGAGGCCATCCTCTGTAAATATTTGTCTTATTATTATTATTATTATTATTCTTTAGAAGTACAATCCTTCTATTGTAGCCACTTTCACATTTTATTTCTTCAGAATGCCTTTTACGCAAACGGACTACCTACACTTGCATCGACACCGCTTACCAATGTCCTACCCATCAGAGGCATTCCCAATGCATCTTCAGTGCACGGTGCCAGTGGAAGCAGCGGCATTGGCAGCAAAGCGTCCGATTCCCTGTCACTTTCTTATGACCCAACGCCCAATGCATCATCATTTGTTCCACGCCAAGAAGGCAGCAACTCAAGATTAGTTGATGGTAGGCCTCCAAAGCCAGAGAAACGCCTTTCGGCGGTGGCAGCTCTTGCTGCACAGTCATTGAATATTGCTAAAGGTGTGGAACCAGATGCTGCTTCGAAATCCATTGTCCCATTCCCACGAAGAAGTGGCTCATTGATGCTGAAGGCCGCTGCCGAAGACAGAGTCGATGGGTCGAAATTTGAGGTTACCGAACAATCCCTCCTTAGGGATATATTGTATGTGTTTCAAGGCATCGAGGGAAAGATGATTCGCTACGAGGATGAAAATGACGGCTATAGAATAAACCCAACAATTGGCGTGCCCTTCCCCATTCGCGATTTTATTGATAAACTAAACGAGTTAGGCTGGCTTTACCGCAAAGTCAAGAAGTTCTTAGATGCAAGGGTAGGGGAAAAAGCGTTAGGACTTGTAGGTCAGAGCTTTTGTGCTGCGGTACATAAAGAACTTGCTGAATATTACAGGCTGCTTGCCGTTTTGGAAGCACAGCAAAATCAACTGTCTGGAGATGGAGGTATGGAGGGACTAACCCTCAGACGGCTGATGGTGTGGACCAATGACCCTTTGATCAGAATGAAGGCACTGGCAACTCTTGTTGACTCGTGCAAAGGTTTGAAGTTTGTGCATTAAATAGTGATAATATTGGCTGCTAGACTTCGTTGAAATTGAGTATATCCAAGAGAGAAAAAGGGGAGGCCTTTCGCTTACAATTTCTAGTTGTAAACAAATTCTATTTGGTCGAACAAGTTTGGCAATATATGGAGCTATGACCTCGATAAAACACATTCTAGTTGTTGAGATTCATTTTCCAGGAAAGCCTTTTGCTCTGTAATTAACGTGTATTGAGAGGGGAGTCACCGCAACGCCCACAACAGTTTAGCTCGATGAACAAAATGGAAATCCCCCTTTTCGAACACATTGTGTAGTCGAACAGGTTGTTGCCTACACTGTTTCCTTGTGTATTTTGCCTAGCTTCTTATATATAGAAGTATAGCTTCTTAGTTAAGTAAGCTAAATTTGATAATCTGTTACAGGCAAAAAGGGAGGCGCTTTGCTATCAGCGATTCATTCGAACACGAAAGTTGGTGATCCATATGTCAGAAATCTGATGAAAAACATTCTTGATGTCGTGAGTATTCTCTTCTCAAGCTATCCTCATGCCTGTGCCTAAGGCAAACTGAAGTTTCTGTTTTTAGTCCATGTACAAGCAGCAAGTCAATGAATAAAGGAAAGACTACCGCAGAAATACAGAAAAAAAGATAGGAACAAAGAATTGTTTTTAATACATGTATCTTATCACTAGAAACTCAGAGCTCTTTATCTGTTTATTAACTTGTCTTCAATAAGGACAGGCTCAAATTTGTCAATAGGCAATATATAGAGAACGACAATGAACCCGTTATAACTGGACACGTTATCTGACTAGAAACTCACCTATAATCTCCTTGATTTTGCACACCATCAGTTTCTTAATGTCTTTTTCAGGTTTCCCATCCTATAAAAAGAATCCTGGAAAGGTGGATTTACGAAGGAGAACTGCAAGATTCCTACCATGAGGTATTGTTTATCTAAAAACTTTAGCAGTGTAGGCAACGTTTTTGATGCCGCTAATTCTCGTTTAAATAATTTGAATATCATAAATCATCGACGGGCTTTTCCCTTTCATGTATACCCCCACCCTGGAACCGGAACTGTCTCTTGGACTCTTCAACTATCAATCCTGAACAAAAGTTAGGAGGCATTTGCTGCTATTGCCATTGATGTCGAAAGCACCCAACCCCCTTCCCCCAATATGAATGTTGATTTTTTAGGTTTTCCACAATCAACTGCCATTACCCACTACTGACATTGACATGAGGGGGGGAAGCATACCATTGATTTTGATGGCAATTACGCAGAAAATCTCTTATCAAAGAATTGTCTCATAACCTTTTGTCCAGGATTGTAGATGTAAGGTAGATGACCACTGATTGGTCAAATACAGGAAACCAATCAACCATGTCATTTTTCCTCTCGCGTCTCTTTCGATCCGCACCCTTTTTTGAGTTTCTGCTTTCTGTTTACTTTTAGTCATTATCCCACGTTTAAACTCTGATGAGGAGTGTCGGACGAAAATTGCTTTACCTAGATATGTTTTCTCTTTTCTTTGCTATCTTCAAATTTACTGGTACCAAAGGCTGATTTGGTAATTTAAACTGCTATTACCCTGGTACTATAACCCTGGTACGTCTCTCTTTTTCAAAACTGGCCCAACTTAACATGAAATTCCAGCTTTTAAAAGAAGGTTCAAAAGCATTCTTAAACAAGTATAATTCATGCAATAATGTAATCTTCCAATATTTTCGCCATGCGATGAGCTCTTATCGGCACCAAGTCAACGAGAGCTGCCTTTTAAGACGTTGTTTGTGAGAAAATAAGATCTTGGAACAGATAAGAACAACTAAAAAAAGATTCGCATATGTTTTGCAAATTTTTGCACAGCCTGCCATTTATGTTTTACATAAACAGACAAGCTGGAATCTTGTTAATATGAACTCAATCTATTCTCTTATGAAAGCCGCTCGTAAATAAACTCGTTTATGTTTCTGGTTTGTGTGCCGAAAAATCCTACATAGTTTATTTTTGACTGCATTATTTGATGTCAATAAGAGCTTACGATGCAGAAATATTTCCTTAATGATAGAAACGATAGTGTTTTGAGGAAATTTATGTTAATCAGATTTTTAAAAGTTCCTGATGTATTGTGCTAGGCTTGTATTCCACCTTCTATGGCCGTATTCAATAAGCAATCATGTCTGAGAGTATGCCCTATCCACTGTTTCTTCCTGTTGTTGATTGTATGTATAATCGATCTTTTCTCTCCTATCCTTAGTAGCACATCCTCATTTGTTATTCTTTCAGTCCAGCTAATCCGTAAAATCCGTCTCCAGAACCACATCTCACATGCCTCTTATCTTCTTTACGCAGTGTCCAGGTCTCTGCTCCATAAAGCAACACACTCCATACAAGCTATTTAACCATCCTTTACCTTAGATTTGTGCTAGGCTAATCTCACCAAATGATACATACAATTATAGGATATAATATAGCGATCGAGCTACCTCGTTGAAGATTTTTTCACAATTGCTTTGTTCCAAAATCTAAAAATTGAGAAACAAGAGTGGCATAATAGCCTGATAATCTTCAGAAAAATGGGCTTGTTATCATGCTAGGGGCATAGCTGTTAGTTGTCTCAGTTTTCTTCTTCTATCGACGATTGATTATTAACTATAAGGCACACCAAGTCCCTGATTGTCCCTGGTTGTTTATCTTTGATACGATATGAAAAGGTCCTGACATTTTTGTCTTTGCATTTCAGTTTTTCGTGGCTGCAGACCCTGCTGTCCGAAATGAGAGACTATGGCATGAGAAGTACAGCTTACGAAAGCTGATGATACCGTCCTTCATACCTCGGAACCTAGCAACCAAGGTATACTCATTTACATCAATGCCTTCTCACCTTGCCAGCCAGAGGTCAAACATGATAAAAATTTGGACATTGCCTTTACTTCGTCTTTGGAACTAAATCGTAGTTCACGATACTTTTTCTGATTGTTTGCTGTATTGAAAAATTCAATTAAAAAATGTCGAATAATCGCTAACAAAAGTTGGGTCATGAAGCAAATGGTTTTAACACGTAAATCTTTTTCAAATTAGCAAACGGTTGAATTACTTTTTTGTATTTGAGACAAAGAATATCAGACAAAGAAAGAATACGTTTTTTTGCATAAGAAGACTCATTTAAAAGCTGCTAAAATTTCCCAATACGTTTGGTCAAATTTTAGTCTGAAGAAGATACTATGCTATATTTGCACTTTACTTTTGACATAACAATATCATGATGTACAACGATGCAAAATATCATAAATTAGTACTGCAAACGTTTTCCACGTCCTGGAAATGGTTTTGCCAGAGTTCTTAAAATGACGGCCTCATTCTGCAGATTGCGAGAAGCGTTTTTCTATTTACAGCCTTGTGAAATCGAGTGCAGGTAGCCGGTTTTAAGGGAAGCGGTTAGCAAAACATTGTATGTAAGCAAAACTGCCAAATATGAGAAACCTACTAAAATACCATACTGTGGGAAAAGTGATATGCTGCAATTCATACTGTGAAGGGTGACGTAGTTGTTCGCTTTTGTTATACGACAACTGCGATGTTGTGGGAACAAGAACATCTTTAGCAGCTTTTATGAAGAGGATGTTCTTTAGGACACGAATCGTTAGATCTTTGATTAATCAAAGCTCATTTACGAGTTTTGTATGGATAAATGTTGATAATTGTCCATGTTTTTCGAGTTGTGAATTACAAATATGTAGGTCTAATGAGTAGATTTAAGGAGAGCTAAGCCATAAAAAAGGATTTACAGCGTGTGAAATAAAAAGGCAAGGAAAATCACGAGAGAGTTTGAGATATGCAAGCGGTCAAAATAAAAGAAAAGAGAACAGAAAATTGGAAATTCAGAAAGAGGTGGTGAAGAATTGATGAGAAGAGGGGAGGAAGGGGGAATAGGTAGGAGTAGATAGGTTATGCAACAGAAAGGAAAGTAGGAGGTGAATAAGAAGAAAAGAGAGGAGAAGAATGGTGCAGAGCAAGAAGGATGCAAAGAAATAGAAAAATAACTAGAAAGGAGGGGAAGGAAAATTGATGAATTGAATTCAGCATTGTAGGAGAAATTACGAGAAGAGATTAAGATAAAATTAAGGATGAAGAAAAACTAGTTATAGAGAACATATACTTCTATCAAATTTTTCTCGAAGCAGTGAGTTACAGCTTGCATAAAAGGTGTCTATTGCTACAGAAGAATCAAATTTAGAGAGACGTCCCCTTGTCGCCTCATGCACTTATTTTGTAATTGGTAATATTTTGTTTGTAGATTCTTAACATTGGCAAATCAATAAACTTCTTACGGGTCGTTTGCAAAGACAGAGGTCCCATTGGAGACCAGGCCCTTATCAATTCTGGAAAAGATTCAGGTAATTTTCATGTTTTTTCAGAAATATTTCGCTTCGTTTTCAGCATTTATTTGCAGCAGTCACAATATTTTTTGGGTCCTTGCAATGCTCAGACATAGCTCTGAAAAACATATGCATATTTCTGAAACACAAGAAAATGTTTTCCTGTGTTATTTGTTAAGTGGCCATTTTTGTTTTGTTTCTTTGATAATATTTTTAATGATTCTATCCAGTTGCTTAAGGTTTTGTTTAGCCCGTACAGCTCACTAACAAAGATTTTCTTCTCAAGCTTTCTTTTGCATAAAATCACGAACCATCTTAGTATGACCAGATTATTGTCATCAACCAGTAGTTTCGCAGTGCATTTGAAACTTCCTACTTACTTCCACCAAACCTGCCTATTTAAAGCATATCGCATTGATAATTTGCTGTTTTACTCTATGTTGCAAGGCTTTTCCCAAGATCTTCAAGAATTCACTCGATCTGCGCTTGAAGAAATCATAGACGTTGTGTACAAAAAGACGAGTAAACGACTCCTCGAAGTTCTCTTCAACAAATATCAATTTCTTGATCATCTCCAGGTATGACCTTCTTTGAACAAGTTATCTTCACTTGATAATTGATAAGACTTGATAACTTGATAAGTTATCTTCATCAAATTGAGGCCAGAGACTAGAGAGATTACATTCTTCTAGTGGCAACATTCTACACATTTACACAGACAATGTTTAATCGCATAAAATCAAAGGTGGAAAACTTTCAGAACCTTGGAATACAGTTTCCAGAATCCATTTTCACACGAAAATTCTAAAAATGCCAAAAAATTCACATAAATATTCTCTATCTGAACCAGTTGCGAAAGTCTATGTCAATGAAAATTGTCAAACTTTTCAAACAAACTGGACAAAGATTATCTTTTCCATATATGACAGAAATTTTCTCCGAGACTGTCCTTGCCCCAAGGCTAATGAAATAATGGTGGTTTTACGGTACAATCAAAATCCTTCAAAGCTACACTCAGTACCATAAGCTTGCAATAATAGAATTTCTTTTCAAGGAATCAATTTCTGCTTTTCGGAATCAACTACATAATTAATCTAGTACATATAAATATTATATTCACACACTCCAGGATTTCCATGTCAATAACTTCTTGGGTGATACTGACAATAGTTTTTTCTGATACTTCTCTGAACATGATTCCTCGTATAAAAAGTTGAAAAGTTTGATGGTATAATTGTACACTTAATATGATGTAACAGGAGGAGTGGATTTGATTTCCTGTCGTTTTCATCCCGCAGGGTTAAAAATCCCAAATGAAAAACCGACGGTTTTCTTTAACCCATTTTTTTTGCTTTTGGCATAGGCAGGATCGAATAACATTTTTAGGAAATCTTACTTTTATGCAATGTAGAAATTTCTATTTTGATTAGATACTCACTTCGTTGTATATAACATTATCTGACAAGGAAGTAAATTGATGGATCCACAGAATCAAACTTTGCTTGCTTCTTTAAAATGGGACCTTTCGCTGATAAACGTTGAATGATCAAGCCGTTAAACAAGAAATCTTTGCACTTTACATCACAGGACATTTTTTGGTTTTTTAACATTTTTTCATAGGCCAATGTTGTCTCGTGAAAGGAAAATTTGTTTAAACAAAGATTAAATCTGTAAAAATTTGTGACTTATTCCTTTCAAGCTTTGCAGAGTTTTCTTGCAATAACCCTGAGCTCCATAAAGAAAACATTTTTTGTCTCTGAAAAGCACGCAGCATTTCTGATACATTATCCTCTCATTTCGAAAAATCTGTTCTTTGAAGAACAGTCTATCTTCAGCATTATATATATATTTTTCGGCAACATGTGGAGCAAAATGAACATTGTCATTGGCAACATGAATATTCGAAACATAGATGTTAAAATATTATTTTGTTGTAAACTGAGACGATATTTGTTATAAGGCTTAATGCGCTGACTGTTGAGAGATATTTGCTACACTGCTGTATAGAAGGAATGCACATCGTTATGGAGAGATTGAAATTACTGAGTCCTGAACTAGGAAAACCCTTGAAAATATTTCAACTGTTGGATGATTTAAACTACAGACCCTTGTAGAGGAATTTCGCCACATGCAGTTTCGCTTAACAGATTGAACGCAGCCTTCACATCCCTAATTGCATAAATGTACCTGGTGACTTTCCAAAGCGAAAACTGAGATGGCAGTCAATGTTTTCTCAACAGGACGATTGTATGTCTCATAGCAAAGTTGAGCGACATAGACCTCAATGCGGCCGCTTCTGTATGCAGACTGAGCTTTCACACGGTGTGCGTTGCTAGTTGATTGATTTTACTGATGCAATTTACAGACCTTGAACGATGGGACTCTGATTTCTAGAAATGGCATTTATCACAAATGCGCACAAGGTTTTGTCGCGTTTTGTTTGGCCTTTGAAGGCAGTGTCAAACGGTAAAGCAGCTCTGAAGGCAGCACCCTATGATACATTAACATCATTTAGTGTCACTTTCGTCTTCATTTTTCCGAATAAGATCTATACGGAAATGACTATAAAAAATTACGTACAATATTTGAAGCTTCAATGAAAAATAGGCTAGAGGCCTTTTCTCAAGCCAAGGAAGTCGTTTTTCTTTATGTGTAATTCGGAGAGACTTACAAAACCCAATCAGATCAGTTTTCTTGTCGAAGTTTTCATGTCAGAGAGAATCTATGTTTGTGAATAGAACGTTAAGCACTGAACTGAGTCTACCATATAAATAAAGATTGAGATCGTACGGTCAATATTCTTTTTCCTTTCCTTTATGTGTAAACTACCGATGATGTGTTGAGCTCGTGATATATTTTTATGTAGATGCCTCTTGTCTGAATAGTCTGAAAAGCTGAACCAATCTATTTTTGTTTGACTGTCTTTGTTCAATAACAAAGAAAAATGCGTCGTAAGTGTATGCTTATAACAACACAATCTTGTTAACAAGGCCTGGGAGTTTTCATTACGTCCTAATTTCCGAATATTCTATTGCAGGCGATGCGTCGATATCTTCTTCTTGGGCAAGGTGATTTTATCCGTCATCTTATGGACTTGCTCCAGTAAGTCATTGTCTTAATTTTGCTATCAAAAATAAAGCATCAGAAGAACAAAACCCGAGTTTTCAGGACACAGCCCCCCCCCTACAGCTTTTTAGACGTGAGAAAGATCTTGAAGTAACAGAAAAAAACTTGATTTTTGGACGTTGTTGAGCGATTTACATCCAAATATCGCTGGTTAGTAGAAAGGTTGGTAAGGTTGGTAGAAAGTTATTAATCAAAGTGTGATATCTGCAAAGAGAACTATCCCCTCAAATCACCCAAATCCCCTGCCCTTTGACTACAAGCCCTCTTTGACAGTTATTTTTGATATGCATTGACGCAAGCTTAACTCATCTATTCATGCCAATTCTGCTTTCCCTTCACAAAATACCTTGTTCAATTAACTTATACCTTCGAAAATTGAGAACTCATAAAAGGGTGGTAATGATAATATTTTCAGGGTTGTAAAAAGGGAGCTTGAGTTTGTTAGTAGTGATGTTGATGAGGGGTAGAAATGGGGTTTGTTTTGCTTAACAGATCTTCTTTTTCGTGAAAAGATCGACTGAAACAAGCCTGTTTCAAAACAGGACTTGACGTTTCATCTAATGTCTTTTCAGGTCTGACTTGGCAAAGCCCGCAAATTCTTTGTACATGTACAATTTGACTGGTGTTCTTGAGGCAGCAATACGGGCGACAAATGCCCAATATGATGATCCAGATATTCTTAAGCGGCTGGACTGCAGACTCTTTGAGGTTCGTCTCTCATTTCTAGTATACTACATATTTATTTGGAGAATTAATGGAAACTGATTCTTAAAATAATCAGCCTTGTTTTTTTGGCATAACTCAAATAATTTTCTGGGGTTTTGCTCGTGTATCCAGTTCTAAACTTTTTTGATTCTTTTCTTAGTTTTAGCTGCACAAACCTTAAGTTTTTTCCTAAGCACGATGTTTTGGAAATTTCGGAATATATATAAAATAGAGCTTCAACTGAATATCAAAAGGTTGTTTTTGCACGGTTCATTTTAGTTTGTCTCCTAGTAACTGCAGAAACAACTCTGTTTAGCGAGACAAACCTAAACCTCTTTTTCTAACTTTGGCAGCCACTACTTTATCTTGTCAGTTTAATGCCACAGGAATACAAAACTATTTACGTATCCCTGTTCAAGATATACATCTTCAAAGCTGTTTCAAATCGCTGCTTTCCCTACCAAAACCACCTTTTTTTCCTATTTTCTCTTGAACTCTGCAAGATGTAGGCACTCCGTAGGCCGTTATATTGTTTGCTCGACAAGGCCTCTGAACAAATAACCAGAAAAATACGCTGAAAAACCACAGCCATATTTCACTTCTCGTTGATCCATGCCTTTTGCTTTCAGAGAGTTGCTCCTATATTTTTACGCAAATTACATTCTGTTTCCCAACCCCCATTTTTCTTTTGGTTCAAGTAGGTATTGTTGATTCACCCATTTAGTTTAATAACTATTTAGAAATGAAAATTCCTCTAAATATTTGCCCGTTAGATTTCACCTGGCGACTGCGGATGGGATGTTTTCAGTTTAGACTACCACGTGGATGGACCGATCAGCACAGTGAGTTCACGTTTTTTCTTCAATTGCCTTATGTCTTTTTCTCTTCATTTTTTATTTGTTCTCTTGTTCTCTCTATGATCATTTTCCTTACTTTACTTTTTTTTCTCTCTCTTTCCTTCAGTCTACTTTTTCTGGCGTTCCTTTTTATGAATCTTCTCTTTAGTTATTTTTATTTTCTTTCCTATTAAATTTCTTATTTGTTTCTCTTTTCGAACCTTGCAATCAATTCTAATTTACAAACTGGTTAAAGAAAATCTGGACAATGGCATTATTATTCTTAACCATTGTATATTTGTTTGAAAATTCTGATGTTTGGTGTGTTCTGGCTTTTTTTTGTCACTTGTAACAACTATTGCACGAAGCAAAAGCTGTAAGAAATAAATTAAGTTAAATTTGCCTTTTAAGCACTGTCATTCTTTTGTAGTATGCTTTTCTTCGATAATTCCCTCTTATCTCTCACGTACCGTTTGCTCTCTAATCAAGTTTCTCTCCCATTTATTCTCGTTGGTTCGTTCTATATCAACTTCAAACCCCTTCCTGTTATTCTATGGTCCTTTCGTGCTGTTAAGTGTATTGCTGATTTTCTAATGTAAACGTGATTTTAAGCTAGATAGATTTGTTTATGCAGGTTTTCACCCCGGATTGTATGCTGTTCTATCTAAGAATTTTCAACTTCTTGTGGAGGGCAAAGCGTATCGAGTATTGTTTGACAGAAATTTGGAAGAATCAGATGACTTGTAACAAACTGCTGCGTGGCATTCCAGGTTGGTGATGAACAACCAGCGTCCATTTTTATCAATTATTTCATGACCAATTAACCTCTATGTCAATTAAACAGAAAAAAATGGTGCCTCATTATTGAAAAGAATCATTTTCACCACACCTGTAAAAAAGGATTTTCGTGCAGTGAGCAGTGTTACGGTATATTTTTTTCGTCACCTTAAAGACGGTTTCTTATAATTTTTAACGTCTTATTAACGTCAACTTTTTTTATAGACAATCTTTTGTTGGTACAAAACTTTGCTTTCGATCCACAGCTGGGTATATACATTTCCTAGCGAGTTTTCGATCTATGTTCTGACGTTTTATGCTCTGAAGAGTGTCAGACGAAAACTTTAGTATGACTCAAAATGTTTGCTTTTTTCAAAGCCATTTTAAAATTTTTATAGACGTCAACTTATAATTTTTATTGACGGTTTTTTAAAAAAAAGTGCGTTTTGGTTTCTTTAGCTGTTTTCATTTGCAGAAATCGAGCCATTGTTGCACCAGAGCAACTGCTTGGAAGCTGAGATGGTCCACTTCATCCACCAAATGCAATACTACATAACATTTGAGGTAAAATTACTCTCATACTTTTTCCATCACAACACATCTACCATTAACGACGCCGCTGCGCCCTGCAAATACAGTGAGGAAAATTCCCAAATTATGAATTTTCGACTTTTTCTTTTTCGCTTTTCGCTTGCGAAATCCTTCAACAGCCAATCATATTCCGTATTCCTTTGTCACGCTTCCAAACTTTACATTCCTATGTCGCGAGGTCAACAAAAGCATTCAAAGGCATTTGTCGCGTGAAGTATTTCGCAGCGAAATTTCGCAAGACTTTTTCTCACTGGAGATTCGGCTTCATTAAGGTTTTATGCAATGTTTGAAATGTGCTCACCAGTTTTTCACTTTAGGTTCTTGAGTGCTGCTGGGAAGAGCTGCTTCGCAACGTCAAAGAAGCAACTGACTTAGATCACGTGATCGCTGCCCATGAAACATTTTTGGACCAGGTTATGACTAGATCTCTCCTTGACAACGAGTCTAGGGTGAGTTGTACGAGTTTTTACGTTGCTAACACTCTTAGTGTCGGCACTGGCTAGAAATTTTAGATTTCGAAAATGTTTGGTCACTCCTCTTTAGTTTTCGACAATGTTTTCATGATTTTCCATCTTCTGAATTTTCCTTTATCCTCCATAATAAACGCGACGAAATCATGCAGTTGGTTAGGAAGTAAGGCACTATGAGTTGGTTACTGGCTCTTTGACAATTCAGCTTTCGTACCTTGATCTTTTGATTGCAAAGACACTACTGGGGATTATTATGAAAGACCTAGAGCATGAATTATGTTCTATCAGCATCATTTGGCCCAGATCCTCTCATGGCGAACGAGAAAAGATTAACATGAAAACCCATCCGAACAAGTTTCTATTGGAAAATTGCATAGCATTAAAAGTTCAATATACACCCCCTAATATTGAAATTAGTGACATCATGGTTTAGAAGCTCTTACGAAAAAATGAATAACAACAAAACAAATGAATAACAACAAGAAACAAAAACCGCTTATCATAAAAAACGATAAAGGAGAAATAGCAAGCTCAGAAGAAGAACAAATTAAGATCATATCAGATTATTTCATCAAAATGCTAGCACCAAAAAGTCAAGAAGGGAATTTCAAAGAATATGCACCACAAAGAATGAGGGAAGCATTCACAGAAAAAGAAATAACAAAAGCTGCAGCCTCGCTAAAGAATGGGAAAAGCGCTGGACCAGACGATAAGCATGCTGGGCTCATTAAGTATGCACCACCAGAAATACCTAGAGAGATAGCTAAAATCTTTAACAAAATGGCTGAAACAGGGAAAAATATCACTGAACTTACATTGGAATTCTTAAAACCATTATAAAAACCTGGAATGCAAGGAGGTCTTGTGGTTAACCTAAGGCCCATCATCCTACTATCTATCTTTTGAAAAATCCTTACAATTTGCTTTAACAGAAGAACATGGAACAGGCTAGAAAAACATATCTCACTAGAACAATCTGCATACCAACCCGGGACTAAAAGTAAAGGTACACAACACAGTTGGAGAGACTTTCACAACAAAGACTGGAATACAACAATAAAATAGAGCCATGGAGTACAACAATCAGGAGGAGACGATTAAATTGGCTGGGTCACCTTATGCGCCTGAAGAATGATACTCCAGCAAAGATAGCTCTTGATGAAAGCCTGAAAAAGACAAAAAAGAAAGTCGGTAGACCGCCAACTACGTGGATAAAATTGATAGAAAAAGACTTGTCACTGATCAACATAAAACTAAACATTTCAAATCCTGTTGAAAAGACATTGAAAGTCCTGCAAGAGATAACAGCAAACAGAGAGAAATGGAGACATATTCTTAAAGACATTATGGCGGAAAACCGCTGACCATGTATTTTAGTTTTTAGTAAGAAAAAATGAGTTTCGAAATTTCTCGAAGTGTTAAGAAACTGGAGTACTCAACGTCGATCAGTGTTTCTTTGAGTGTAGCCAGAATTATAATTAGAAGGCCTTATTTGTAAGTTTTATATAGTTTCAGAACGGAGAAAAGTGACGATTCTCAATGAATCTTGATAGACTGTAAACAAATCCTGTCTGTCGTCTCATTTACTCCGAATCTCAAGATAGTCCCATTTAGAACGTTTGACAAAGGAAGAAGTAAGAAGTTAGGAATAAGGACAGGTTACTTCCGAAGTACAAAGCATACAATGAATTGTTGAGTTCAAAACCCCTTCTACACGAGACCTCTTTGGATCTTGCAAAAGTCCTCTCTGGGATCAAAACGGGTCCACATGCGAAAGTAATCCAAGAACAGGTAAGGACAGCCGATCCAAATGGGTTCAGATCCGTGCGAACACAAGCTGATCCAAATTTTAAGCGGATCAATTTTTGATCCTATCCTGTGTAAGCGGGGTCTAAATCCTCAGGATGATGTTAATCTGCTTCCACTTTGACACAAAATTATAAATTTTTATGGACTAATTAGATATGATTGTGGTGTTGTTTCATTTACATTTTTTCGCGAAATGCACCGACAAACACAGCATAAAAACCCTCAAAAGTAATTGCAGTTATTTACAGGCTGTTATTTGGAACGTCTTAAAGTGTATGCCTTTTCTTCCAGGGTATGCTGACGCAATTAAGAGCGATCTTCGATTTGATTGTCCAGTTTCAAAACACGCAAGAAATGATGTACAACACTGCACTAGAAGAACTTAGAGCAAGGCAGAGATTAGAAGAGCTTATCAAATCAAGAACGGGCAAAGTGAGTATGATGTCAACCATACTGCATACAAGCAGGGGGGGGGGGTCGTATTGTATCGGTATAGTTTTTTGTTCCTGGTTAGAAGAATGTCGAAATAGTGTTTTACGAGCTGAGGAGTTTGAAAAGTCTTTCGAAACGTTTCTTTTTGTTTTTTTTATCTATGAAACAGGCAATGCTAACGATCCGGCGATTTAGTGATTTGGCGATGATAGTGATCCGGCGATGATAGCAATCCAGCGATGATAGTGATCCGGCGTTGATAGTAATTCGACGATGATAGTGATCCGGCAATGATAGTGATCCGGCGATGATAGTGATCCGGCAATGATAGCGATCCAGCGATGACAGTGATCCGGCGATGATAGTGATCCGGCGATGATAGTGTATTTTGCATTGTTATCAACTCCTTTTGTTATTTCCCAAAATCTGTTGCCAGAGCACTTCAAAAGAGAGGAACCTTAGGGGTAGATTAAAGGGAACAGGTTAATGACACTGGAAGTGAGAGGAGAGAAAAGGAGTAAGCCTAATGGAGACTGACGACTAACGTACTGCTTTATGTACGTCCAACATAGAAGTTTTTGAAAAAGAAGGGGTTTGTTTATTTATTTTAAGTGAAGCAAGGCCTTTTAGACCTCTGACGTCAGGTTCTAGGCAATTTATTTATACTTTGTAAGTTGTTGATGGAGGGCCCTTGAAAAACAACATAATTTTTGAAGGTTTACTTAAAAGTCTAAAAATGAAATCAAATCAAACTATGTTTTCTTCCCTTCTATCGTAGTTGAATCTCCGCCGAAAATGTTTTTTTAAATTCATAACGTAAATGATCATTCTTTCTAAGAATCCAAATTCCAAATATTGATGCAATTGAAGGTTTTGTAGGTTGTTTAGAACCCGTTCGAATTATTTTCTATTAAGATCCGAATTACTGATCTGAAAGCTAGAAAGATGAAGCTTATAAATATGTGTAACTACTTTATGAGTTTTTTTAAAATATTAAGACATACACAGGTAGCAGAAAACTAATTGTGGGTTTAGAAAGTAACATTATGTATTTTGACACACACGGAGATAATGAGATCTACATAAATGTTAAATTTTTCTTTTACTTTGCGACCAAAACATTGAAATAGGAAGGGGGGGCTGTCAATTATTTCTTTAAACTACTTTTAGTCATCAGTGAATCGTTTTCCAGTTGCTAACATATTGATAATACTAAAGCCTCAGACACCCCCCCCCTAACTTTATCTGCTTCCCCTTCTTCAAGTGAACATTTGAATGCGTGAAATGATGATGTAATCAAAAGAAATTAAACCGGGAACGACCTAATGCGATTTCATCGAGAAAAATAAAAAATATTAAATTTTCATTAAACTTTTGAGTGCAGTATCAGAAAGCGTGATGTACCGGTAGCTGAAAATGAGCTGATGAATAAACTATAAATAAAACTTTTGACTATGAGAATCTTTAATTGATGGGAAGCGTAACAGAGGGTCTCGACATCTCCTGAATATTGTCCCGACAAACGACACGTCTGTTTGCTCTGAATAGGATGCACCTGTCTTTGAGAACTTCTTTTTTGTCGTTTATTAATTATGTTTCAATTTTCTTTTTGCCATTAAAGGGAGCGTGGGGAATGACGGAGACCGACACAGAAGAAGAAATGAAAAGAACAGAAGAATTTCAACAGAAGTTCATCCCAGGGACCAGAGCTCAGCTACGTGTATTGCATCATTCGTACCAGGTATGGCAGCGGAATCACCTGCAAATTAAGTCTTGATAATACATTCTAATAATTTTATCACTGTTGTCTTGGGAGTCAGGTGCATCTGCTGTTGACTTAAATTGTAATTGGAGAGTTTCAGTTTTCTAATATCACTGATTCGTTTGCACATTTTTTCCTTATAAGATCAATTTTATAAGAGCACAAGTCTTCAATCTGATCAAAAGTTAAGAACAAATTAAGAGGTACTGTAATTTCTGAACAAAGCTTTTTAACACGTTTATCATTTCTGAACACGTTTATCATCAATTTTATAATGCCCTGGCAAATCCTGCCCATCAAAGGAAAGAAGAATTATGAAATCAAGTGCCTGAGCAATCTAATTAATGACAATGGTCAGCTAGGGGTACTTTGTCAACGATATTTTTTCGACCTTTTCGGTATGTAAAGGATTTGTCATCTACTTTGTCGGCTAATGGGGCCTTATGGCAGTGCTTACACCCTAACAATTTGAAAGCAAATAGAGAAAAAATTTAGCCTCAAAGTCTCAGGAAAATTGAGGACAGCAAGCCTGAAGCTAAACTTTCTGGTTCTTTTAAAAAAGAGTGCTTGAAGAATGGCAAGAAACAATGAAATTATAGAATAAATTATATGAAATGGAATTGTTTTAGAGTTCGCAAGTAGAAGGATTTAATCCTGAAAGGCAATCAGCTTAATGTTAATCCACTAGGCTACTTCTGGTTATTTTCTTGAATACGTAATCAAAAATTCAACTTAAGGACGAGTTAGTTCATGCCAATTCCGAATCATTACCCGACGGGAGAAGTTCTTTATTAAAAGAAGATGGGGCGCAATCGTTAGAGGCTTCGTTAGATAGTTGTGTGGTACAGGGTTTAGGACGGCTAGACATACTTTTATTAGATGAAGCAAAAGATGAGTTCTAAACAAATTCATTATCCCATTCGTTTTGACATTCTAAGTGTGGTGATTTAATAAAATCGTAGACGAAGACCACACATCAACGAAAATTAGTGAAATTGGCCATTTTACGTGGTACTCAATTACGCGATATTAACACTGGTTGATGTTTAACGCAGTTGAATTTAATGCGATCATACATCAACGCAAATTCGATGTTTACACGATATTGTATTAGCGCGAATCCTTCAGAATAAGGCATTGAAATGTGTGCCGAATATCGCGAAAAAGCGACAAGGAAAGACAAACTAGCGAGAAAAGAATAAATCTTGGACAAAAGCCGAGCAAAACTGGAAGTAAAGCTTTCACATAGCATAAGAACATAACAATGGCATGATAACATAACATAACATACACATAAGCATAAGCACATAAACATAGTATGGAACATAACATACCATAACATTAGAACAGAACTATTGATATCGACATTTTGATTCCATTGATCACATAGGTTGCTAATCGACAGGATAACCTTTTTCTGATTTAGCTGTGGCAATTTACGGCGCCATTAGACAAACGTATTGTTTCAATTTCATTACGAATAAAGATAAAATCTCAAATTAAAGGCATCGAAAAAGGACCCGATGACAACAGCAATGAAGCATATGTGTTCTAGTAGAACTTGGTGACAATTATCAGTAATACAATACGTGACTCCAATCCGCATGTCAAGCATTGTTGTCGTTCAATGCAAGAAAATAACGTGGATGGAAACAGCGCCAGCACTTGAATCAGCATGTTTTTCTAAAAGGCTGCAATAAATTTTCGTGGTTTGAATCAACACGAATTTATGGTATTGACTTTCCCTTACTGTGTTAAGTTAGTGTAATATGGCGATTCATCAAAACCTTGTGACCATCTTGTTTTTGCCTCCATTTCAAGATTTGATCTTTTCTATCCGGTAGGACATGCTGCGACAGTTTTTGGTGATGCTTAAGAGCCATTCTGACGTCAGCCTACAATTCCTCTGCTTTCGACTTGACTTCAACGAACATTACAAAAGCAAGGAGCCAAAGTTGAGGACCCCGATGCCAAGACACAGTCAGCGCTATAATTTGACCTCAGAAATGATCCCTTCACTCGATCTTAAACTATAGCCACCTTTTCTAGAAAACCGGTGTGCATTTGGTAGCCATAGAACGACTGGTGCTATATGGTTTGGATGGGATACAGTTTGCCGTACACTCGGTAAAACGTATGATCAAGCCCGTCAAAGGCATTGAAAGTCAACTCTTAGTTTAGAAAATGACATTTCGACATTTGTAATACTGTAATGTTCACTATGTTTTTTCACTGAGAGATTTTTTGAATTTCCTACTCGTATATTGGGGCTATTTTGTGTTGTAGCACTAGGTGTTTATGTATTTCTAATTTGATACACAATCCCGACCTCTCTTTCATCCCGAGGGTTGTCTAATATACCTCTTTCACCACCGTCTTTACCTGCAGCCACTGATCGCCATCGCGCCATCACGGTCTCACCAATTTCGGAGACCTTTTGAGACAAAGCCGTTTGCTTATAAAAAATTAGTCCGTATCTATAATCGATAATCGATAATCGATAATATTTTGATAATCAGTTCCAAAATCTGAGTCATTAATCCAGATGTGTGTACGAGTCTGGAGCTTTCATTGTCTATCACATTGATTCCACTGCTGCGAAAACGCCTTTGAAAGGTCATTTGCAGACAGATCACTCGGAAAATGTAAAGTCTGTTGTTGTCAGTTCTTTCTGTGTTCAGAAGAATAACATTCAATAGAGACTGCTCCCTTTGAAGATTCTGATGATACTTTAAATAACATGGATGAAAACTGGTCACTATATAGAAGCATCTGAATTCTGAATAGAACAATCACACTATCTGAAGTTTGGGTATCAAAGTGATCATCTTCATCGTCATGCTGTGAAGCGTGCATATCAATGCACGATTTTTTGACTTAATGCACATTTTCTTTTTAACATCTTCAATTGATTGGACAGTGGGCTAAATACAAATACAAATAGAATTCTTTTCTTCCTCTTAAGAAAGGGAACGGGGCTTTCTTAGAGAAGGAAGCCTTTAAGCCCCGTTAAAACGCTCTCAACATTAAAACGCTGAGTGGTGTTCAGCGATGTTGAGTGGAGTTTGAACAGATTAAAAAATGTCCAGCGGGTCGACTCAATATTTCTGTTGTCAAAGGAGATGTTGATAACGTTTTGATATCCCATACAACAATGTTCATTCCGCGCAAGCGCACTAAACTTCACTTTTGCGCACCAAAGAAAGAAATAAGCTTCAACGCGTCAAGAACTCTGATCAGACAAAGCGGCTGAGAGAAGTTGAATTTTATAAATCGTAATGGCAAACCACGACGAACGCTTGGAAACAGTTGGCAGTGAAAGCAAATCGGATAAGATAGCAATTCAAAGCAAGTTGCAAGACGAAAAATCCTGACCTTAGGAAATCATCAGGCAGCTACTTTTTAAGGGAAAGAGTATCCGAAGTTCATCTTCCAAAACACCCTACCTAAACAGCGGATTGCCTTGTCTTGGGTATCTTAGAGTCCGAAGTTCATCGCTCAACGAATGTTGAGTCGAATGGTTGAGATCGTTTTAACACCCCCATTCAACATCACTAAACATCACTGTACAAATTTTTGCGATGCTCTGTGCAGTTTTGAGAGCGTTTTAACGCGGCTTTAAAGAGAAGAGACGCTTAATACAGAATTTACTGTACCCATAGATGCGAGCTTTCCCAACTACTGATGGGTTCAATTTTCCGGGCTATTGTGACCACCTTATTTGTTTCAATCACATTTCATTTAGGCCAAGTTAATTTTGGGCCTTATTTACATATTTTGTAAGGCTACCCAGAGGTCTCATGATTATTCCGATTATGACGTGCAGTTTTGCAACTTTGCATTTCTATGGGGGTTGTTTTAATATTTCACAGGCTTAGTACTCTGTTCTTAATTTTGAATTTCACGTTAAACTTGGCAACAATCTGTTTCTGCTAGCCCTCGCCTATTCATGGTCGTCTTTGCCACATTTTCAAGGGCTTCTTCCAGAAGTTCTTATATTTACACAGAATTCTAATGTTTAAGGATTCTAACCGTGTACTCTCCAGCATTGGTCGACTCGTGGGACTCCATGTATCCAGCATTGATCGACTCGTGGGACTCCATGTATCCAGCATTGATCGACTCGTGGGACTCCATTTATTGGAGCTCGTTTGAGTATTATTTGAGCCTACCCTTAGAGTCCTGATGTTTTGAATCACATTTCATTTAGGCTTAGTCCAAACTATAAGAATGTCAGGTTTCTCGCGATGTCTGTGATATTCCTGACCTGAACAGTAAATAGTACCAACAGAACGACTCTAAGCAATTTGATTTCCATAAGTACCACTCGTCTTGAAACGATCGATTCTTGTATAAATCAAGTGACGACAGTGTAGGCCTTTCCTTCCCGAAGCTTCCAGCTGCAAAAAAATTTTCAGCAGCAAAGTCATAATAATGTCTTCGTTACAGTTAGTTTGATCCATGATATCAAAATAGTTATTTTTCTCAAAGAAAGCCTGACTATGGCCTGAGCGAACATTCTTTGTAACCACGGCGCAAAAAATAAACAAATTTTATCGAAACATAGGGCTCCAAAGGTTTAGTTCCTGCTTTCATGAATGAGCAAGACCTGAGGCCCTGCCACTTCGAAAGGACAGGAGTGCCATTATTTTCTTCTATTGTGACGCAGGACCAAACACAGGGCTGCGAGGCGTTTGCCCATTGTTGGGCCGCACCAAACATAGGGCTTTGTCCTGCCTACGAGTATTGGGCAGGACTGGGCATAGGGCTAAATTTTCGACGATATCAACTTGTGAACGGGATAGTCAAAATTCCATTCCAGTCACCTGTGTCTCATAATTGAAAAGGGCACAGCCACGAAGAATAAGTGTAGAATAAGACAAGCAATACCTTTGAATCAGGCATATAATGACTTCACAGAGTGAATCAATTTTTCTTATTTTAAAAATTGTTATCTTTGGAAATTTGTGGTCCTGCCTACAGGACAGGCAGGACCATTGGCTTCGCCACTGCAAGTACCAACTCACACTTTAACTTGTCATTATGATTGTAAGAGTACAAATTGAGAAACGACATGTACCTAGTAAGAACAACCTAGGTTTGGACGTAATTTGAATACAAAAACGCATTCTATTTAAGACTTTTCAGATGGCTCTGTTGATTTTTCAAATTTAGTTGCATCTTCGCGTTAATCTTCGGAAAATGATGCATACTCTTAGCATTTTCGGAAGAATTAGTGCTAGTCCAGAAGTGATAATCTTAGACCAGCTGATAACCACCTGCGCTCTTCTCTTGCAAGTATAAGTAGCTGATCAGATCAAGAGAACTGTTGCACAGCTTTCTTCATTTTATGTTGACGACATCATTGGAAACAGAACTGCAGCATCATCTCTGTTTCAAATTGGGCGAAGCATCATTCAAAAGCAACTTGGCTCTTCAACAAAAGTCAATATGCTTTTTGCAGCTATAAGAAGTGATTCAGAAACTGAGCAGGTTATTTGGATTACTGTGGCACTTGTTTCCACAATGCTAAATGCTTTTGTTGTCCTTGGACTACTCAAGAAGATATCACCAGTGCGCTTTTATGATGCATGTATTCTAAATTTTTCATTGGCTTACCTCATACCTGGCAACGTGATGTTCATTTCGATGGCATTAACGAAAAAGTGTAGCGACAACTCAGCCAGTTTCCTGGTCCTGCATGCCTCATTTTGGATGCTCACATGCAACAAACTTGTCACCCTTATCTTGATCAACTTGAACCAAATTTACTCGCTACGCAGAATTTTCCAACTAACTCGCTATACATTGCAAAGTAAGAAGAAACGAAAATACGCACTCTGTTTGGCTTTTATCTGGCTATTATCAGCAATTATTTCCGTCTCATTTTTCTTCGCAAAATCGAGATTAGTCTTCATCGTTTCGATATTCGTGTTCGGCATTACGATATCCATATTGCGCATTGTGGTCTTGAGATTGCTAAAAAGAACTGGACAGCATGTATCACAAGTAACGAGAAAGCTTATTTTGAACAAGATGGGTAGTTCGATCAAGTTTGTACTGCTGTGCAGTCTGATCGAACTCTGCACGTGGCTTCCCACAGTCATAGTTGGCTTTGTTGTAAGGTCTAGTGAAACCGAAACTCAAAGAAGCACCTTACGGTGGTGTCTGCGACTACTGTTTTTAACGCCAATCGTTTATCCATTTTTAAACTTTATCAGCGATACTGAAACAAGACAATTTTTTCTCAGAAAGTTACGACGTAATCAGCAAGTTGAAGCTATCCTCACTGAGTGATTCTCATTATTTAAAGCACAATTTACGCTCAACTTAGTTTATGAGAGGTGCAATATTGACGGTTAAGACGATATCTTCAAATTCCTGGCAAAAATTGATCTGTAAAAGTGCCAGCAATCTTTGAATCTTCATTGATTGTTGATAAAGGTTTTATGATAAAGATTCTTTAAAAGAAGTGGTTCATTGATCGGGCTTCTAATGGCATGGCAATGTTGGAAAGTTTAGAGATGAAATACCGCTTATTGATTCAAGCATCAATCAATCAAGCATCATATGAGAGTCAAGCATCAAGAAAGCTTATAGAAAGATTAACAAATGAGACAAATTTGGGCTGCCGTTGTTTTTAAGATAAGATTGGAGCACATTTGTTGTGTTTTCTTGTTGCAATTGTGTCAAGATCAGATTCGAAACCAACAGTTGGCTCTAAGATGTAAAGGTAATTGTAAAGTCCACTTTTTCAGGCTTTTCTGAGTGGCAAGAGTATCGGCATACTACTTTGCAACTTGGACAAAGTTTTGTTTATTTATGAAAGAAGATGGTAAAGAAGGTGAAGCAAAAAAGATCCTTGAGAAGTAAAGATGTCTTTGAGACGATTTATTTGTTCTCGTTGGACAGCCTTTGTCCTTGTTTGATTGACAATGTAGAAATTTTAAGGATGGAAAATAAACATTCAAGTAATAGTCTTGTTAGAACAAAATTAGTACAACTACATATTGCGTATTAAAAAATCATTTTAAAGATGAACAAGTTATAAATATTGACCATAGTCTTTGAAATAAAGAAAACCCGTTTAAGATTCATTATGAAAGACTTTCTAACGCATAAATATTCGGTGCCTGTCTTGTAGATATCATTCGATTGTTCCATTCAGGGGCTGCATGAAATATAAACAGCTATTAACCCAAATTGGTGTAATCGACCTTATTTAAAGAAATACATTTAAAGGCATATTACACATTACCAGTTGAGTAATATAGCAAACACATGTAAAACGACACTGTTTTACAGATTCCCTGGCTTTACCTTGTGAGCAAAACGAACA